ATTGAGAGATTGTATCTCTCTATGGGATTCATTTCAGATAGCTCGTACGAAGGGCGAATCAAAAAAAGAGGAGCGGGGTACGTACCCTAAAAATGCTCTTCCAGAGTCGTAGATTGTAAGTAATAATCATTATTAATTTCTTCCAAAGAGAAGATTAAGTCGCCCGTTTCCATGAGTTTTTAGATGGCTTCTAGTAATTGTCACTCCCACCCACCCCGAGTTAACAAAATTTCTGTATCTGCTTTTGCCTGGTCTCGTAGGTGAACGACATTATATCACAGCCTAGATACCTAGCCCTTTGTTAGCTTCACTCAAAGTGGAGCCGGGATTTTTCCAGCAAGAAAGGTGCATGCGGATTATATATATAGTTATGTTATTATTGGATTAGCGTAAAGCCATGCGCCAGAAGGGATAATCTCGTTTACCCAAACTAATCGTCAGGTCTAACATTATGAAGTTACGAATTTGAAACTGACAAGAGTGGTTGTTATAGTTGGTCATATTTTAGGTGGAGTTTATTTCTAAGGTTGTATGCATGAAATCAAGAACATTGTTGTATTGACTGTGTTGGCATATTATTTTCAGTTCTGAGGACGTGTTTTCATAATACTAGGTACTTTAACAGACTGTGTTAGGTCAAGGTTTCACAATGGAACGATATGACAGAATCGTGGTTCGGGGATTGTTTTATGTTAAAGCATTTCAATAGAACTCATTTGCGATCGAAATGAATTGTGGTTAAGTACCCTTATCTTTGAAAATGGATATCGGAAGCACCCAACTTAAAAATAGGTCTATCTGTTATGATAAGAAACTGTCAACAAAACGTGGTCCTCTTAAATCTCGACCGAGTTCTGTCTGTCATGACTTCTATAATAAATGGGCCAGGCGAAGACATGGAGAAACACTGGAGTCCGACTCGGATACGGGAGGGAATCAAACATGGACGCCAGCGGAATCACCTTCACCAAGATACGCTAAGTATCGTTCAGATCTCCGGAGAACACCAGTGAATCTGCTATTTAAACATTCTACCTCGTGCGCAGGTCCACCTCCCCGGAATTTTAATAGACCCAAATCGAGAAATAGAATATATTTGGACAGGGCTGGATCTTGTGTGTATCCATCTGATTTGGAACCGAAAAATATCATTGATCCTAGAAATGCCCAATCTGCTCTGGATTTTCAGAGCTTATCTAAGCTTCCTTCAATAAACTCTCAGAAATTAGTTCGCCCTGGCACAAACACGTCAGGGTATCCCTCGCCGCGTTCTTATAATAAATCAAAACCCAAGGCAGATCAGCAAGTACCGTTTCATATGAACAATGCGGTTTTGAATTTTACAGAAGACATTGTGCTAAGGGGAGATAAGTATGTTTTTATTGATCAACTCTACAGAAAATGTAAGGATACAAGAACTTCGGTGACTGTTGAAAGAGTGACTGTTAATCAGTCCGGCGAAAAACATTTAGCAAGAGCACAGTTGATTGATTTTGGAGAAATTAAACAAATTTTGAGTTTAAGACGAGAAAGGCTACAAAAGGAAAGATTGGAGAATTTGCGGAAAAGTGATTATACATCGATTTCAGTGCCGTCAAGAGCATGAAGTGAACCTATAGACTATACGTATCGGATTGTCAATTTCCTCTTTTATTTCAATGTGTATTTTATTCTTGAAAAGAATAAGATATTAGCTTGTAGATCACAGTAAAGTCCGCTACAACGGAAACTTTTCTACAATATACAATATGATGTAGTTCGTTCCAACTGCACATTCCCCATCGGTATTGTTTGTCTACGAAACTGTGGTTAAGGTGGTGAAGCTGTAGTAAAAATAATGGCGAAGGGTTGTTATTTATGGAAGACCAAATGGGACAATATTTATGATTCTTGTTTCTACATTCCAGTTTGAACATTTTAGACATGAACGCAACATTCTAAACTAATGATTCTTGTTTCTACATTCTTATGTCAACATTTCATGCACAAAATCAACATTTTAAACAAAAAATTGACTTTATGTTTCATTTTCGGCGTTTTATCGGTAACTTTTATATATCATTAAATATTAAAATTAAAAAATAATTTCTTAATTTTACACGATAAAGAAATCAATTCATTGGTTTCTGAAAGTATCTAAAAAAAAATCTGAAATTTGAACTCTTATGAAACTATTTTCTACGTTACAAAAAGTCTTTTAGTTAAAATCTTGAAATGAAAATGTCCAGAAAAATATCATGAATTATCAACATTATTACACCAGAGGGCGTTAGCGTATGTGTACAACGTGTCTAAAATGTTCAAACTGGAATGTAGAAACTAGAATCATGGATATTGTCCCATTTGGTCTTCCATAGTTATTAATTCCAGCGAAAACTATTAAAAACTGTGCGCATGTGTATACCCACAACATAGCAGAATATAAGTTAAATATTGAGAATCTAGACATAGGCCCCTAATAACATTAACCTTTACAATAAAATAATATATATTTTTGACTTTTGATATAATATGTATTAGTAAACGATCTGACTTGTTGAGTCTTTAAGTGGACACTTTGTTCTTGTAATAAGATCTAGGAGCCCCGGACAGGGATGGACTGAGCCTGAGTATGGAAGACTCGGGGGGGGGGGGGGGCTCCTAAAGACGTTAATGTTCTCACGGACTTTGGGGACCTTTTTTCATTTTAAATTAAGCCGTTTTTTATGCTTAATTGGAATTATTTCTTGATAATTTGCAGTTTGATGGTTTGTAGTCTCTGGAGGGCTGGTAGCAATCTGTTTCACAGAGAATTACGAGTATTGTCGCGGCCAAGCAAATATTCACTGCGGATCAGTGTGAGCTGGTAGTCTACTCAGGATATACTCTAGAAAGCACCATTAACATACAGTCTTCAAAATTTCAAAAATATATCTCCTCCGAGAATTGGGGCCCCTTAAGGATCCAGGCTCAGGGGGCCCCATCCCCAAGTTAATCCCTTAGGCTCCAGAACGAAATAATTTATAACGATTGTTAAGTATTTGAAGATATAAATATTATATTGCGAGAAATACTTAACATTGTGATATAAGCCACCCATGTACTGCAGAGGAAAAAAACCATCAATCTCGTGAAGCTATTAATCATACATTTTAACCCTTCATACGACAGCCAAACCCCATTTTATGCCTTGACATGGAAATATGGTCCACTTAATGTTTTTTATCGATTATATATCTTTATGTGTAGATTCAAAATCCGGATGGTGCCACCTTGACACCATTGGGGAAATTATACTACATGTATTCGACCCGCTGAATCCAGTGAGGTTGGGGACGATCTTGGCGTTTCGTTCGGTCATGACATTCACATATGAATTCGGCGAACCCGAAAGCCTGCATGTTTTACGTATTACACTAACATCGTTATGTCTGGCCAAATATGGTCGCCATTTTGAATATGTATTCAAAGTGGAATACCTTTTGGTCGGTACATGTTTTTATCTTTATATCTGAAGTATCTAACTCCAAAAACATATATTTCAATATATTACACAACTTTTTAAGGAACATTATCAGTTTCCCGACAAAATAAGCCCCCAGTTTGAATTTAGTCCCCTATAGCAGAATTAGTTGCCCCTTTCAGGTGGAATACCCAAGCTCATTGGATTCAGCGGGTAGAACTCTTATAGAAAACACCTTCAAACCGCGGTCCAAGAATCTATCACCAATTTTACCCAACTAAATAACCAGAAAATGCCCTCGTGTCGGCCATCTTGAATATTTAAATCCCCCGCCACGGGTGCCAGGGTGGCAACATCCTGATTCTGAATCTACACATATTAAAGTTATGTAATCCACCGAAAAACTATATTTCAATATATTACAAACCTTTTTAGAGAACTTTATAAGTTTCCCGCCAAAATGAGTCGTCATTTTGCATTTGGGTCCCTACAGAAATTAGCCGTCACTGTTAGGAGGAATACCCAAGCTCATTGGATTCAGCGGGTCGAATTTTTACCGAAACCACCTTCAAACCGAGGTCCGAGAGAATCTAATTTTATCCCAATAAATAACCAGAAAATGTTTCATGGCGGTAATCTTGAATACTGGAGACATAATCCATCAAAAAACATTAGGTGGACTATATTTCCAGGTTTGTCAACCTGCCGCCAGTTTAATTTGTCTATATTATGCCGGGGTTGGGTTAAGCTAGTGTGGGGTCTGTAGCATATGTTATAAAGAGGCCCTAAATTACCGCACACCCATTACAATAATAACCCCAACTGACGGTGATGGATCCTTGAAAATGCAGAACCATGTTATTTTTAATATTAGTTTTCTCCAAGTCCTTGGACCATAAATTAGAGATGTAGGTGATAAGTTTTGGGATCGGTACCCTATCAATAGCAAATTACTGGTTGCACCACATTGCCTTGGAAAGGATGATCCGGGGTGTGGGTCTGATTTAGATAGCAGATGTATGTTTGTGAAGAAACAGAAGTAGCCTGGACCCTGGTGAAATCTGCCATTGAATCAAGGTGTGTAGGATGGACTGCCCATAAAGACATAGCAACCCAGTCAAGCCTCTTCAATAATTGATTTCAAGACTTCTTTTCATACCACAATACTATATACCGAAAAACTACCGTAAAAACACAATGTTATACTGAATACCGGAAAACACACTAAATACCCCAAACGCCCTAAATACCGGAAAACACCCTAAATAGGTAACCCGGAGCCTGGTCCTCTGTGTGGGGGGGGGGGGGGAGGGTAGGGTTAGGGTTAGATTTTTCCGGTATTAAGTATAACATGGTCTTTTCTGGTAGTTTTCTGGTGTTTTTCCGGTATATAGTATAGCCCTTTTCTTATCTAATATTTTTTTTTCTTGTCACTCTTGCAATGTAAGACAGAGATAGGGGTTTAATAATTCGTTTGCACCTAGGGGTCTTCAGCAGTGAGGAGAAAATCACTCAGCCACCTAATGAAACCTGCATGTACAAATAAACAACTATACAGTATATTTTAAATTATATTTATATTTTACAAAATTCTTACAATAAAATATTTAAATAAAATAATGAATGTCTTATGTACATGTAATAATATAGATATAAAAGTATAAAATCTTTATTTTGCCAATTTATTTGTTACAAGTAATGCTGTGATTTTTTACTATCAATAAATACGTTTCTTTACATAAATCAATAGTACATGTATTTCACTTTCTGTGACTTAAAAAAAACCCAGAGGGGGATGGGGTCACATAATTTGTTCAATATTAAAGTAAAGGGAGAGTTTGGGGATATAGGCTTTGAACAAAACGGTTTTCAACTGAAATAACTCCAGCATTATTTCAGATAAGCCCAAATATAAATTATAACAGCCCAAAGTGTGTCCCTCTATAATACACCACTGGAACTGTTAAAGGGGAATTATTCAAGAACTAAATCTGCCTATTGCAGTTCTTTTTTTAGGCCTTAAATGTCATATAAATTATTAATTAGACATTTATTAACTTGCCAAGATCATAATCAACTCTTGATGCCATCGGATTTGTGGTTAATGATTTTTAAAAATGGATAATCGAACTTTGTTTATTATCATAACAGTAGCAATGAAGATCGTGACTGCACTATTCTGCAATCGACAATAACTCCGCTCAGAATGGAGAAATTTTACTGACATTTTCAACATATTCCCTTTTTATTACCTATTTTTTAACTATTATAGCGAGAACTGTCAGTTCTTTATCTAAATCTTAGATAATATATGTTTAACAGTCTGGAAGATGATCATTAACCCTTTAGCATTTAAAGGTGCATGCAAAATGGTCCTTTAATACAGAAAGCTATTCACACATATCGGGCAGTTTGACCTAGTCTAAGGAACAGTAGATTCAGACTGTTTCACTCTGTCCAAGGATGTACCAGTATTAATATATCACTTTTCTCTAAATTTCTTCAAGGAACTGAGGTAGTCAATACTTACATGTACCCACCAAGTGCTAACGGCTTAATAACCTAGCAATAAACTTGACTAAGAAAACTAGATATCAGTCAGCTTAGATAACAAAGAAGAAACATTTCACATTAATTTTACCCATAAAAATACTTTTGAGGGTGTAAAAAATGATATACTAAAATGATGATGAATTTATTTTTTCTAAGTTTTTAAACGATGTGATCTTATAGTCAAGCAGTTCGTTCCTGTAAAATATTTATTTTATTTTATAAAGACTGTCTTGATTGTCTTAATTCTGCAGCACGTCTTTCTTCCCGCCATTTTTGGATTAAAATCATCATTTGATCACTGATTTCCTGCTGCTTTTCATAGGGCATGGAATCAAATTCTCCTGGTTGTAATCTATGACCCATAACTTGTGCCTGAATAATATAAGAGTGTGTTTCATATTATGTCATGTTATGTTAAAGAAATAAATGGATGTAAAGGGATATAACCAATAAAATGTCAAAAGATGGGCTTGTCTACGATATCACCCCCTGGTGGAAGTGGACCTAAAACTCCAGGAACAAACGAACAAACAAGATAGGTTACATTTATAAACTACTCTGGAACAGAGAGAGGAAGAGAGAGAGAGAGAGAAATGGGGTCACGTACAACAGGGAATCAAAACCACGCCAGTTGACTCAATGACAGACCTGATGATACAGCGCGCACGTGCTAATCATTCGGCCATCCAACCCCCCAGCTCTAGAACAAATCCAATACTTAAACCTAGAACATGTCTGACAATGAATATTTTTTAATATAAAGAATACAAACAATAAATGTTAATAAAGTACACCCGATGACAAAATTTACCTGTATAAAGCTATAGATACAGATAAAGTATCTGTCACATAGAAAATATGACAAAGACAATATGCTATAGAATTAAATATTTGTCAAGAACATTTTACACATAAAATTGTCTGACTGTATTTAGATGAACATACCTCAGCTCTCTTTATATCATCTATATTTTGATCTACAAATTTTTCTGTTTCCCTTTCTAATGTCTCCCTATCTTTACCTTCACCATGAGCAACTAAAATATATATCAAATTATTAATTAGATACTACCAGTACAGAAATATTATCATTGAGAGTATTTAGCAATTGACTTGAGAGGCAATCTAGCAATATAATACAAGAATACATGGTATGGATACAATCACTTTGTTTACTACACTGTATTGTTTCAAATAGATTTCAAAAGTCCCTTTTATGCAAATACCTAATGTACGTGTGATAGATGTCATATATATAACACCCCAAATCAATATATTATTCAATAACTTGTAAATCAATATATTCGTTAATTTGTCTGCGATATCAATTCGGTGGAAGCGGATGTTAAATAAAGCTATTTCACACACACACACACGTGGTTATTATACAATAATCAAAAACTAAAAAGTAGAAATCTCATGAGACGCATGAAATTACAAGAGATGTAAACGTGACAATTATCACGTTAACTTATAAATCAATATATCCGTTAATTTTTCTGCGATATCACTTCGGTGGAAGCGGACATTAAATAAAGCTATTTTACACAAACACCCACACGTGGTTATAATACAATAATCAAAAACTAAAGTAAAAATCTCGCGAGACGTGTGAAACTACAAGAGATGTAATAGTGACAATTATCACGACGGAGGAAAGATTCTATTTTGATGGCATATTCTCGGGTTTATAATAATATTTTGATGTGGTTTATGTTTAAAAAATGAAATAAACAAGCTGAGAAATGACGACAAATATTTCGATTGGATAATAGTGTACATGTAAGTAGTTAATTGTTTTACAGATAGCGCGTGCGAGTGCTATTATTTAGCAGATGATATCACTGACTCGATATGGTGGAGCGACGCTCACTGCCAAAACAATTTCGGGATACGAATTTGAATATTTTGTTGACACGTGACTTTTAATTGTGGTCTGAAACCGCCTGATTAAATAATGATAAGAGTTATGCTCCTTTATTTTCTGTAAAAATGTCCGACAAGAAAAAATTTAGAAATCCCATCACTGGTTTGTACATTAGGTTTTTTTGCTTGAAAACTACTTTTGGAATCTTTTCGAAACACTCTACTGGTTTAATATACATTTTATATTCTACTGGTGTAATATACCTTCTACTGGTATAATATACATTCTACTGGTGTAATATACAATATACATTCTACTGGTGTAATATACATTCTACTGGTATAATATACATTCTACTGGTGTAATATACATTCTACTGGTGTAATATACATTCTACTCTGGTGTAATATACATTCTACTGATATAATATACATTCTACTGATATAATATACATTCTACTGATATAATATACATTCTACTGGTATAATATACATTCTACTGGTATAATATACATTCTACTGGTATAATATACATTCTACTGGTATAATATACATTCTACTGGTATAATATACATTCTACAGGTATAATATACATTCTACTGGTATAATATACATTCTACTGGTATAATATACATTCTACCATTCTACTGGTGTAATATACCTTCTACTGGTATAATTTACATTCTACTCTGGTGTAATATACATTCTACTGGTATAATATACATTCTACTGGTATAATATACATTCTACTGGTATAAAATACATTCTACTGGTGTAATATACATTCTACTGGTATAATATACCCTCTACTGGTATAATATACATTCTATTGGTGTAATATACATTCTACTGGTATAATGTACATTCTACAGGTGTAATATACATTCTACTTGTGTAATATACACTCTACTCCTGTAATATATACTGGTGTTTTATACATTATAATATAGAATATACATCATTATTAAATTCAAGGTAATTGTATAAACAATAAAACTTACTGTTATCTAATGTTTTTCGAACTTTGCTCAAAAAGTGTAACACTACATTTTCTGTCTGTTGTTGTGGTGTGTGTGTTCTAGAAGGTGTTCTACCAGGTGATTCTAATATTGGGGGCAGACCGTTTGTTCCTGAATAATGTGAGGCTGGTGTCGGTGGTGGTGGTAACAAAACACGACTGTTTATAAACAGAAAGAAGAACTACTCATTGATCATTATGAGATAATTTACAGAGTTTTTCATAAAGAAATGCAATCCAAGTATTCAGGAAAATTATTCAGTTTTATAGCCTGCTCTATTTGACCATAGGTGGTCTAATTTGATAATAGGAGGTCTAACTTGACAGATACCAATTGAAAAATCATAAAATTACATACAGGTATTAAAGATACATTATGCAAGATTTAGATAAATAGCTAGATATTCTTGCTATAATAATTCGAAAATACATGATGTAGATAATGTAAAATGAATAATTTAACATTTCATTCAAATTACCTATTGCGAGGTATAGTATGACAAGATGTCTGCAATAATTTCAACCTCCGTACTGGTTGTTTGAAGCTAAGTCTCGCTCTTCCATTTTTAAATTAAATCAAAATATGGCTGAACAGTTCTAATCTATTTAATATTGAAGAAATCCGATGCCATCGAGAGTTGATTATGGCCTGGATCAGTTAATTAATGTCTAATAAATAATTTAGAAAACATTTCAGGCCTAAGGAGACCTGCAATAGGCAGATTTAGCTCTTGCATAGTATGTTTAATTGTTTTAAGATCATACTTTCACTTGTGCTTTGATAAATAATCATTACAATTTATGTAAAGAATATAAGAAACGGTCCTGTGATGTTTATAAAGTTTTGGAAAAAAGCTCTTTAAATTGTTTTTTTTAAATTTAAAGCACAACAACTTAGATTGTTCACATATATTTCAAAAGTCAAAAATATGCACTATATTATTTTAAAGAATGTAATTAAGCAGATCCACATGTAAAATATCTTCATAAAGAACCAAAATATTTCTAATAACAGTATCTAAAACTTTTGGAATTTACATTTTGTGATATAATTACGTTGCATTCCCGTCTGAACAAAATATAATGGTAATAAATAATAATATTGATAATTTTTATTGTGATAATTCCATTCACAAATTTCATGCTGAAAGCACCATGGTGTGATTCCCTGTACTCCTTTTAGAATTACAATTATTAAAGGATCTTTTCAATATCTGACCACTTGGCACATAGCCATCACAAACCAACGGGTGTTACCGCCTCCATGTTTTTGGCACACTTTTCAAAATGATAGTAAATTAACAAATCTCACCTCATGTATGACATGTTACTATTGACTGAAGGAGTTGGGGATTTCTACAAAAATAAGAAATATAATATGCTATATTCAAAGAGAGAGAAAGAAATAAGATCTATGCTATATTCAAATATTGACATAAATTTTACTCTCTCTGCACATGCATCATCGTTTGATCCAGCAGCTACAAAAACATACTGGTCTGACCATCCTCTGCTACTCTTTTAAGGGTGTATTGCTGTTCCTCCTCCAGTTTCTCATTGTTAATAAAATTGATTCATGCAATATACTATATAAGTTAGAGGGTCTCTTACTGTTGGTTTCGATGTTCGTTTCAATATGTCAACTTCTCGTTTCAGTTGTTCAATCTCGTCTTGAGCTTTTCGTTCATTGTCTTCTCTTAATCTTCGTTCCTGAATGATTAAAATATGATAAAAGGATATAAAAATGGTGACTCCCCATAGATCTTTGCAATTATTGCATTCCATTTTCTATGAAACACAAGCCTTGCTATATTGAAATATATTTTCTGACTCACATTTACAATTGGATAACAAAGTTTTCAACGGCATAACAAATGAAAACAAGATTAACCAGTCTAGTTCAAATGAATGAATGGTTAAAATATATCACCAGGGCTGTCGGTTATTTTTCACAGATGATTAGCAAATTTAGAAATTGATAAGCAGTTTTTCGGTTTCAACATAAAATACCTAAATAACAAGATTACTTTAATTTATAACAAATGATTAGATTTCATTCTTAAGATTTTAGCACTGCTACAGGTAGCTGTGAACATTTCTGAATGTAGACTTTCGGTTATGTCTGAAGCCAATTCTTGGCAGTGGCTTCCGAAGTCCCACTCATTTTAATTCTTATTTCTTCGACAAAAAACAATTTTGTCTGCTTTTTATCGTGTGTTACTATTTTATTTCAATCGGACGCGCACATTTTTTTTACGAATAATCTTGATTAACTAGACGCATGCAATATAAACAATAATATTTTACGGGAATTCTTACTTTGATTTCTCATTTTACAAAACATTTACACATATTTATTTTTCATATTTTATTGACAATACGTGGGGGATACACTGACTGAATTTATTTTGTTCAAATTGAATACGGATATAATTACTCGAAATTGTCATGTCTTGCAACATGAGTGATACTACTTGATTCCCTATTTCCTGTTTAATAGTCCCAATTTATAGAGTTATGTCCCTGTATAATATAGTATAATGAATTGAGTCTGGGTAGTTCGAGAAGAAAATGTCACACAGAGAATTCAGTTTTGCTTATAAAATTTATTTGATATTTTATACACGTTGAAAGTGTTGAGAAATGTGGATAAATCTTTGTGTCGATATCCAAAATGACTGGCATATTAATGATTCGCAGTTACTGCGAATCAAAAACATTAAGATTTTAATTTTTGATTAGCAACGGACACAATATGTATCGCAAATTGCGCTGCGATACTGGTTGTCGGCAGCCCTGTATATTACTGACATTTTGGTTGACCGTGACCAGCAGGTGTATTAATTAAATACAAAAACAATGGCTTAGTGTGGAAGTGGAGAGTGGGATAAATAAAACATTATGGGTTATATGATCCATACCTGATATAGTTGTTCCTCTAATAGTAATCTTTCTTGTTCAACTCGGAATCTTTCAGCCGCTGCAGCTCTGGTATATTCTTCTTCTTCTTCTCTAGTAAATAATAAATTTGATTCAAGAAACATTAAAAGAATAAAAAAACCTATTTAGAATCAAGGACCATATCTTGTTAGCATATATGACCACACTTTGAGAGGAAGTATAGTGTATTTCTCCCTGCTATCACTCCATCCTTCTATATACAATCCGTGTTTCTGATTTTCTTTCAAACTTGCTGGGATTGTTCTGAGGTAACCAATCAGGGTTTTTCGATCTGTCATCAGAACCTTGTGATTTTATAGCGATCTAGGACCGGAGCTTTGAAAATGTTTACGGAATAAAGAATTGGTAGAAAACCTAGAATTTAAATTGCTTTATGTTTCCACTCAGCCAAAAATAAAACTTATTATTTACAAATTATGACTTAAATTTAATAATTCTAAATTCAAACACCAACCTTCTTTCTCTTTCTTCTAAATCATTTCTATAATCTGTAGCTTCTTTCTGTTGCTGTAGTAACCTGAAACATTAAACAACAATATAATTTGTAGCTTTCTGTTGCTGTAGTAACCTGAAAATGTAAGCTAAAATATAATTTGTAGTCTTTTTCTGTTGCTGTAGTAACCTGAAACAGTAAACAACAATATAATCTGTAGCTTCTTTCTGTTACTTTAGTAACCTGAAAATGTAAGCTAAAATATAATCTGTAGTCTCTTTCTGTTGCAGTAGTAACCTGATAATGTTAGCTACAATATAATCTGTAGTTTCTTTCTGTTGCTGTAGCAACCTGAAAATGTTAGCTACAATATAATGAATCTAAGAAACGATAAATACTTGAAGTGTATGTTTTGACTCCTCAAAGAAAAGTTAATTTTTGAATAACGAGTTCTAACCTTTCTCTCTCTGCCTCTCTCTCCTCTCGTGCTTTCCGTCTGTCTTGTGGTTTAGTGTATGGTGGTATGACATCATTATACCAGTGGCGCCATGGTGGATGGGCAGCTGAGAATGAAAATTTGCAATCAATTTAATTAAATGATTATTTTAAAAAAAAAAAATTGATGAATATCTTCAATAAATACAGTGCACATATGACATCAATATGCATCTGATCTGATGTCATCAAGTGACACCATATTGCTTGGCAAAAGAAAACTTTTATAGATATTATGGTAATAAAAGGAGGTTTCTAAAAATGCTACTTTTTTTCTTTTTTTTTTTTGCTACACAGATGGGTTAATAGAGGTTGATAAATTTAGCTATATAATATAGTCACATTTTAATTCTCTTTTTAACAATCTGTTTTATAACAGACAAGGAAACCGGCTTGTTGTTAAAAACTCAAGCAATCTCTGGTGTACTGAAAGAGTGGGGGTCTAGTCAGATCCACTGAGTGCAGATGTCAGCTAATGAAGTGCCCTAGGATCTGGAAACATTCAAGGGGCCTGTGGTAAGGTCCCATAAAATAAATTATGTGTGCCCTAGCCAGTCCAACTCAGCGGATATATCAGCCAGCGCAAGTGCCCTAGAATCAGAAAACATTCAAGCAGCCTGTGGTAAGGGCCCAAAAAATCAATTAATCTAATTAATAAAATGCTTTGTTTTCCCTTCTATCACGCAAAGGACTGATGGAGGAACTTCATTACAATTGTTTTAAAGGCATAGAATGAATATTGAATGTTCTATGTAAATTGTAAAACATACCTTGAGTAGGATCTAAAACAGGCATAGCAGCTTTCTGATCTTTAGTTAACATAGCATATAATTCTCTATAATGATGTCGTTTTACCTGTTCAGAAAATAATAATACTAACATTTCACAAAATAGCGATAAATAATATGAAAATGAGATAGGGATATTGATCGAAACAGTTTAAATTAAACCTAATTCTGACATTTCATTCTTTAAAACCACTGAACAATTATCCCTGTCAAAATCTTTTTAATGCAGGGTTTGTTATATATGTTTTTTCAGGGTGTGATTTGAAAGGAAAAATAAGGTTCAGTGGTTACGACTAGCTGGCCCAATCAGGACAAAATGTCCAGTGTGCTATATATTAACTAGAAACTGGTATAGTAGAAGAAAATATTATTACCTCATATTGAAACTGTGGGATGGTTAATTTAGGTGATTCTTGTGTTATAATACTATCTAATTCTGAAGGCTGAAATTACAAAATAAAATATAGTTTGCTAGGCAAGGTACACATAGGCCTACAATAGCATTTCCGCCATTCACTATGTAAATAAGACTCTTTATATCAAGATTATCTTTTGACCAATATTTACTATTCAAGAACTGAATAGAGTGAGTATGAGTACGGTAATATACATTTATCAATCAGGGGCATTAACTCTGGAACTACTTTTGCGAGAAATGATCAAAATCGAAATAAACGATCTTTAACAAGATTTCATATAAAATCAGTTAATACATTAAGTGTTTAGGTTGAGTGTTGGAACAAAAACATATATGACTATAATAACATGTGGACATATAAAAACCAAACCCACCATCATGAATGTCATCGCAAAAATAATTATCATTTTGTTTTGTAATCAACTGCTCTATATAGATGTCTCCCATAATTCATTGCACACCTTGCTTAAAGCTCAACAATTTCATTGAGTAAATCATTTATATCAAAGAGAACGTGGGTTAAATAGTGAAGTTTGATACACTTTAGAAAAGCTTAATCCCCGATTTAATGCCAATATGGGTTCAATTTGGATTGTAATTTGAATTTCTTTTTGGTAGAATTGATTTTAGGTGAATCCCCTACCAGTCCATAAAATGGTATAAAATAAATACCGGTATCTGATAAATATAACAAAAAGTTTAGGATTTGTTGAAATCAAGACATTCTCAAAATAACACTTCAAATAATACGCTTACGCTGTTACATTCTTTTAATTTATCTTGTAATAATCCTAGTAACGTTGCCATGGCTACAGCCAACCATTCTGTACCAAAACCAGGAACATCCATACCAATAATATACTGATCCCACACATACAATAATACGTCCATCTTTAAATAAGCTGTGTTATAAAATAAATAAAGTTAAATATATTAATATTTTTTATCAGAACAAAAATCCAGTGTGGAAAAAAAACACAAATGTGATAACGGTGCCTAATGATATAATGTCATACCAATTCAAACCATGTTGTCTGTTGTCATTTCATTTACCAGACATTACGAACACAAATGAAATGGGGTTTAAAGTCATATTTTTTTGCACCAAGTGGGCTACCAAAGACAGGCATATGCCATACAGTGTGCTATGTGGGTAATTTTGCCCAGACAGTGGTTCTAGAGCCTACTCTTATAACAAATTCCAACTGTCATGGTATATTTTACAAGCACATCAACATGTATACAGGACCTAGGTTTTTCGTCACATCTGAACGACTAGACATTTTCCTTGCCAGGACCTCCGTCCTCTATACATTACAAGGACCCCATTGGAATTGAACCTAGTTTTAATTTAAGCAAGTTTTTAAGGGTTATCCTCAAAAGGCTGATCATTCATGACATCATTACTTTTTCTATCATCAAAACTTTCTCATCTTATTATCATGTAACTTCATATGATCATCTATATTGTCATGTTTGATATGCCTCTTGCAAAAATAAATATATACTAGAATGAAATCTGAAAATTAGAAATTTTATGTATTTTTTGAACAGTGAAAAATTATAAAATTGATATTGTCTTTCACTCACCCACAAATACAGCTCTAATGACCGGTCTAATTGACATTGTTAAACCATCTAATAACACAGCTTGAGAACCTTTCTCGGTTGCTACTATCTTTTCTGAAAATAAAAATCATGAGTATTCAACGTAATTGTTTGATTAAACTGATGAGTTCAAAATGAATGAAACTAGTTGCTTCAGGAGAGCAATCTGGGACGGCTACTCGCCACTCATAGATGTCTAATTTGAATATATCAGACATCTGGAGTCTGCATCGGTTAACATTCGTGAGTTTCTTTTCCTCCCAGGTAAACATTAAAACATCTAACTACCAAGGTCCAAGGAGGAGGAGCAGAAAAACGACTATTGAAAATTTTAAATTGATTCTATAATTACATTATATTTGTTAGGAGGCCTGAGGTTGCTCTTGATGGCCTTGTACCTACCTTTATCAGGTACATATGCTCTACCAATCGTTTTTGTAACTTCTGGATAAAGTCTTTCTAATATTGTTAAAACTTTACTTGCAAATGCTGCCATTTCTTCATTATCCACCTACAAATTACAAGCAATTGTTACATGGGCAATATATCACCAAGATTTTAGTACAAATAGTTGATATATGGAAGACACTTAACTATTTTCCATCTTAATATTAAAAAAAAATATTTTTCAGTTTAAAATGATCGAATAAGGGTTTTAGTCTGTTTAAGATTCCTAACCGTCCCATTCCATTTTAAATGCATTATGTTAGAGCTAAATCTGCCTATTGCTTCAAATGTTATATAAATTATCAATTAGACATTTATTAACATGACAAGCCTATAATCAACTCGCTAGTTTGTCAGATGGTCATGATTTTTTTTAACGGATTGAGTTGCTTTATTTTATAACAGATATGATGTTTCCATTTTTAAGTTCAGAAATTTGACCTACACAATTGAAACATTGCCATTTAATCATTTAATTTAAAAATGGATAATCAAGACTTTGTACAATATCGTAAAAATGGTACTTGACAATCAAGACTATATTGTGAAACCTTCAACTAGAATAAATTCACTCCTGTACCAGTAATTTGACTGAAATTTTCAATATATTCATTTTTCATTAACCAGTTTAGAACTATTATAGCAAGAACAGCCAACTCTTTGTCTAAATCTTACATAATGTGTCTTTAAGATCAATAGAGGTTTTATTTTATGTAATATTTTTTTGTTTATTATCCTTTTGTATGTAATATCTTTTTGTTTAATATCCTTTTGTATGTAATATCTTTTTGTATGTATGTATGTGTGTATGTTTCATTTTATGTAATATCTTTTTGTATGTAATATCTTTTTGTATGTAATATATTTTTGTATGTAATATATTTTTGTTTAATATCCTTTTAAACTTGCCTGAGATCCTGAATCTGTAATAAATCCTGGTTTTGTTTCATTAAAAGTTAAAAACTCTTCAACTAACATGGCCACCACTCGACCAGGAGCAGGTTCTTGTCTAAAAGTAGTAACCAAAAATATATATATCACGTATATCAATTTTTAACCCAGATTGTCAATTTATGAACACAAAACATTTATGGGATACATTTTCTGAGTTTCAACAGTGATTCTCTTATTGTTAATGTTGTGTAAAAACATTTAAAATATAAATTTATTACCTAGAAAAGTTTGGTGCTGCCACTTCTACAAATGGAACAATCAACATAAAGTCCATATCTCGTACTCGGTTTTTCGTCCTCTGTATAGCATGATTATACGATAAAACAGCTTTCATTGCATAAAATGCACCTGCAAATCGATGATTTAAAAGAAATTAAATTTTACGGCAAAAACTTTTAACCTTTTCTTTAAATGACATCTAGAAACACGGTTAACTATTCATAACAATAGTGACCTGTATGTGTTACGAAACGTCGTTATTAAATAACTAAGATGTAGTTATATCCATATATACCTTGTGTTGTGTTTTGTTATGAATAGTTAACCTGCACCATTTTGAACAATAATGGCTGATAATATAAAATCAATGAATTAAAAAAATTAAATTTTACAACAGAAACTTTTAATACGCATCATTTTGAACAAATAAGTTTTCTGTGATATATATATATCAGAAATGGCTGACATTCTAATTTTCTGGAATCTTCTGAATATTATTCATCATATTGATATTTCTTAATTGGTTATTACAGTCAGATAAGAAGTTATCAGCTATCAGTCACAAAAATCTTGTAAAACTGATAAAAATTTGAAAACAAGAATCACTATTGTGTGAGCTTTTATTTAATGGGATATTTAATTCTACAATTTAACCAGAGGTGATTTCACACACATAGATAAATTTTTAAGTAGCTTGTTCATAATCAAAAGAAATCTGTTTGAAATTTATGACAGCTGACATGGTAATTTCTGTGAATATGTGTTCCAATTCTTTGAGAAATATAAAACATTTTACCAACTGAACCCTTTAAATCTGAAAATGTTGTTTCAGAAAGTAGAAGTTGTTCACATTTCTGTGAGATATCTACATCATAGGGAGAAATGGCACTTCTCGGGTCGCTCTTCATCAAATCAACATATCGTTTACGTACTGAAAAATAATAATGGAGGAACCTAAGAAATTTTTCTTAAATTTCCAGTAAATGAGTAAAATGGTTTGGATGGGACGAAAAGTCTAGGTACACAGATGCACATATTGGTGTGCATGTAAAAGAATCCGTAGTAGTTGGAATTCAAACTAGAATAGAAAAGCCACTATCCAGGCTAAATTCTTCCCCTCACATTGCATGTGTAACCATATAACTTTTATAAGTGAAATTTATCATATGTTAGTCTCCAAACAACCAAAGTGTTGTGTTGATGAGATGCCGCCACAAATCGAAAAACACTGACACGAGTTGATGATATTACATCAATAAGAAAAAAGCCCAACTATTGTTTTTTTTTTAAGAAATCCTATCAAAATTGTATAGCAGAAGAACAGTGAAGTTTAATAAACTCATTGATATGATTTGTTATTGAACATTTTCCAAATAATTAAGTTTACAGCACTTGATATAAGGAATGATGCCATGTGGAATGAAACATTCAGCTCCCTCGTCACTAGCTGGAATTTGCTATACTAAACGATTTTGTGTTCACTAACTAAGGCAACCTAGACATCACGAGTGACGACAGGTTACTGGGAACTGGTCTACTTACATTTTGCATTACTAAGATAGAGTCTCCAGGCTAACTGTCGGATTGTTAATGGAAGAGGTTGATTCAAACAGATGTGTAACTTTGATTTAAATTCAGGCCATTTCTTCAATAAACTGAGAGCCCCTTCTTCAGCTCCCTCTATAATAAGATCTGATTTGGTGTCGACAGGGTAATCTTCAAGAAGTTGTTTAGCTACGTCGTTGTTTAAATGTTGATCCAGAAGATTTGTGACTTTACCAGCAACATTTTTAGAAACACTACCTGTAATTAAATGGGTTTTTTTTAAGAAATGTTCTTTTTAAAAGAAATGTTTTTTTAAAGAAATGTTTTTTTTTAAAAAGAAATGTTTTTTTTAAAAGAAATGTTTTTTTTTAAAAGAAATGTTTTTTTTTAAAAGAAATGTTTTTTTTAAAAGAAATGTTTTTTTTTAAAAGAAATGGTTTTTTTTGAAAAGAAATGTTTTTTTTTTAAAAGAAATGTTTTTCTTTGAAAAAATGTTTTTTTTAAAAGAAATGTTGGGTTTTTTTTTTGAAAAGAAATGTTTCTTCAAAGAATTGTTTTTTTGCCATTTTGGTTTCAAGTATTTGCTGAAATATACCAATTTTATAAATCTTTAATCAAAAACATTAAATAAACTTATTTGTGCAATAATATATTATCTGCATGCTCCCAGTAGACTAGTACAGGGATTTTTATTTTTATATAAGGTGAGAAAAAGGTCGGTGAAGATATAAATTATGAAATTGATAAAAAAAGCATTAGGCCTATCGATTATAACCCACCTCCTTCAATCGCCTTGGTAGCTCTCTGCATAAACAATTCTTTTTCTGGTTCTGATAAATCAGTAAAATATTGAACATGACTTTCTGTTAATTGTTGTTGTATAGCATCATGTAATTCCTGGAGAAAAATACTCCATTCCTATAAAAGAACATACCAGATGTTAAAAATGTAAACAAACAATTCAGATTTTAAAAAACATTTTTGGGTATGATTTGATGATAAAAAAACCCTACAGATGCAATTTTGGCATGTTGATATACACATTTTAAAATTCAGTTTAATCAGAGAGGTTGAATAAAGGGAGAAGACGCGCCTTTAAATTTTTTATCTCATCTTCCGCCTTAACGACAGTTAAATTCCAACTGAATTAAAATCATATCTTTATTTCATTTTGTTCCAAGGTTCTGATTTTCTCTACTCTGCAGTTAATAAAGATCTAAAATATATTCAGACTGGCAATTATTCAGATGACTGATGTTGGCTGTGGTATTCAAAGGAATTTAATGACATTTGGTGTGATTGGAACAGCAATGTAATGTTTTTATGGGCTATTTTCTACAGTAAACTAAAAACAAAATACAATGAACAAACTTGTTAAGTATAACAGAGTTAAGTAAAATATTAAAATGCAGAACACACACACACACAAAAAAAGAAAAGTAAAAATGTTTTGAAAAACAACAGATTCTAATCAGATTAGTCCCATGATCCCTATTTTGGGGTCTATATAAAATGGTAAGTACTAGTAGTATCTTGAAACCAATGCAAGCCAATGTTTATCATCAAAGAGTAAGATATTCAGAATGGCAATAAAAAATATCGATTAGCGTGATATAGATCTAAATATTAATTGACTACCTTGATTCTTAGCGTGATATAAATTTAATATCTAATCTATTGTCACATATTGACTACCGGTACCTCAATTCTTCCAAGTTGGAATATGTGCTCAATTTTTAATGTCAAATTCAACCAATATTTAAAAAGTAATATGATGCACAAATGATTGCATTCATTGTTCAACTAATTTTTTTTACAAAGTTAAGTACCGGTACATAATATGTCATTTTTCATTTATTTTCATAACATGTTTAACAGGTGTATAGGCCTATAGTAATAGTGTTATATGTTATATATCGTTAATAATACCGGTAATTAATTATTAAAATTTGGACTTGTTACCCTGATCCCGATGGTCATTCATAATTCATAAATGCAGATTCATTAACTCTCTGCTGATTAAGTGCGACAAAGCCATATCAATAATCAATGTTCACCTTAGATTTTGTGATATCTTCTTTACAGTTCAGCAACCACTTCGGAAAACCTTGTGTGGCCGCCATTTGTAAACAACCTTGATTCCAAGGTATGCCATGTTTTGCGCTTGCTGATTGGCTAGGTATTTTTAGCCATTGAATGCAAAAGTGTCACGTACCATTCAAGAAATATGTCGTTTTCCAGTTCGTAAAGGATGGCGTTGTGGTTTGGAAACCTGAACACGTTGTTGTTTTTATATGTCTGTACGTTTGCATTATTTACAATTTTTTAATTTTGTTAGAATGAATGCAAATGCCTTGTTATTGCACAAGAATTGCTGTTCAATTACACTCTTTATCAGATTATTAGTCACAAAGCGCTTTAGTCAAATGAGAAAATCGAAAGTAGATCATTGCAACTGCAAGTAGGATAAAGAGAAATTCCATACATTTTACCGTCACAGCCAATTATTCAAGAATTTGTCGAAAATATAAACAAATAATAATTGTCATTATTTTCACTGAAATCCAATTTTGTTTTTGTTAGTATGCCATCGTGTGGAACTCCAGGATTATCTAGATTCAATCATCCATAGGCTAAGGCATTTTGCACCATCTATTTCTTTAGGCCTGAGTCAGAAGTCAATCGACTTCACAGTACCGTATAATGATGTTTTATTGAAGATACATTGTCTCGTTAATTATAGCTAATGTTCGTTATTGAATGTGACTACACACGTTAATGAGAAGCAATTTGATAAGGACCCTCGAGATGAAGACTCTCTTGTCTTATTTCTAATTAGATCAAAAAAGCTTTCACTGGTACACCCAAGCTTATTCAAGAGGTAACATTAAAAATATTTTTGTGTTTATTGCAGATGTATTATCACAGACAGGAAATCTGTGTTCATCAGAAGAAAACAGGCAAATAGAGAAAAAAGGTGACTTTTATCAGAATTCACATATTTAAATTTTGTGATTTGTTCTATAATTGCAGGGGAGGAGTTTGGGGTGGTGGATGGGTGGGTAAAGTTAAGGAACAGGGTATTTATTTTTACCAAATAATGAACTTAATGCAGGTTTCTGTGTATTTAAATCGGTTTGGTAGAGGTGGATCTGTTCCTCCCATACATGCCTTCAATATTATGTTAAGTAATTTAATGCCCCCTCCCCTTGTAAAATTGTATGCCACTCACTGGTGAGAATGCAGGATGTGCACATAGAATCCTCCCTCTTGAGAGTTATTGTATCAATTCTTGGTCGACATACAGATAATGTAATGTGTGGCGTGATCAATAATCAGACATGTCATTGGCATTTGAGAAAAAAAAACAATGTTATCATATAATGATTTGCCCTGCCTTTCCAATATTTCAAGAATATATTTTAAGATTTATTGTATAACTCACTGAAATCTTTCAATAATATATTTTATAGATCTACGTCTAAGAGATATAGTATTTATTGTATTGAGTCAATCCAATACTTACCACAAACAAAGAGCCAAGGAATTTAATCATCATTTTCATAAACAACTCCGAGATACATCACAGGTAAATATACCTCTTTCTCTGCTAATTTACCAGTATTTGTGATAATAATATGACCTACTTGTATTTTTTTTTTATAGTAAAATTTAAAAATAAAGATTTGAAAATATTTTAGATGTAAAAAGATGAATAGGGACATCATGGTAATCATGGCACCGTTTAGGTTTTACACATACATGTTGTTAGATTTCTTAGACTCCCAGTACCAGGTAGTTACATGCTGGTGCCATGAGTCTTTCTTTCTGTGTTCTTTTACCTTTCAATTCAACAAATCAGGAACATTTCTATAATTTTGAGGTGTTTGGGCAGACAAGTGGGTTACTTTTAAGATCATAATGACTGTCATTGAATCAAGTGTAATGGTTTTGATCCATATGAGCAGGGTCGCCTGCTTAATCTCGTGGTTTTCTCCTTCTGCTGAAGCTCCCTACATACAAACAAACCATTGAAATATATATGTAAAATACATTAGTCCCAAAATAATCTAGTTTTTGTTGAGTGGATGTTAAACACCATAGTCATATTTTGTAGGAAGATCATCCAGAACTTTATTTACTACATAAAAAATGGCCATCAACTGGGAGCTGGACAATATTTCCTATTTTACAAAAGTAAGTTTTAAAAAAAACCTTGTATTTGTTTCCTATCCAAAGAACTAGACACTGTCAACCTCCAATGATTAAAGGCTGGGCTTGAAATTCTTGAATTTTTTCTTAGCCCACAATGGGATTTGAACCACTGAGATTGTAGTGCTGTGTGTCCTACTACCATGACCCTACAGAAGAGATTAATCTGTCTTTAAGCTATCCACTCCTTTACAACGTTTTTAACAGAGAAACGCAAAAGCAACTCCGTGAGCTCCTTGTTGAATTCAAAAAAGATTTTCCTAGAGCCACTTTTCAAAGTATGTGAAATAGTAGCATAATACTCAGCCTAACTCAAGGCAGAATATGAAAAACAGGGACGAGTTCCCATTTAATCAAACAAGGTACCCCCACGGCGATAACTAATAAAAAATTAGTGCATACACGCCCTTAACCTAATAGAGTTATTTTTAACTCCTCTCTAGTTTAGAAAAGTTTAAACATAAAGTACAAAAGGTTAAGGAGCCTTGAGTCAATGCTAATTAGCATAATCATGACGGAAAATTTCTTATCCGAATAACTTTTCGGAATAGTTGACTCTGGCGCCAAAGATTGACTCCGGTCCATCTGTGACGTCACATGTGCTCCGGTGCCCACCGAGACTATATATAGAGGTCCACCGCACATCCTCATTTAAGCCTGTAGAGTTCAAATAAGAACGAAACTAGTAGCTGAGAGAAATCTGGAAGGGCTGTTCGCCTACTCACAGATTTTTTACTATCCACTCCTTTTTTCGTCTTTTACTTGAACTTCTAGCCCCCCCATCCCCCACACACATTTTGTCTTTAACCATTTCATTTGTTATAATTGAGCGCTACAAAAAAATCCAGCCTGACATATCTTTTATCTTATAGTATAGCAGAAAAGTTTAAAGAAAAATCATGGGTGATATTTGTAGAGGAAGAAACACGTGTCGATTTAAGTCGACTTGTTGATGTTCTCAATAAATATGATTATAAAAAGGTAATAGATTAAAAATAATGAGGTCAATGATTAATCTTAAAACATTAGTTTTTATAACAATCAAATTAAAATTATATTTTTATTCATTTTATGTTTCTTGTTATTTTCATGACATAGATTTAACATAATTTTTATGTTTCCTGTTTTCTTCACTAAATAAGATCTAACATTTTATGTTTCTTATTTTCTTACTACATAAGATCTAACATTTCGTTTTTATGTTTCTCATTTTCTTACTACATAAGATCTAACATTTCGTTTTATTGGGGTTTTTTTTTGTTCACTACATAAAATCTAACATATATTCAAGACATATATTCAAGACTTGTTATTGAAATTAACGTGACTGGTAATAGGTCACATTTATTTCTTGTTACATTAATTTATTGTTTTACAATATTCAAAATTTATGAGACATTTAAATTTTTATATATTTATATTTTAGGAATATTTTCTTGGTAAAGCTTTATATGATAAATCACCAACTATAATCCATCATTTTGCATTTTTTGATGATCCGAGAAAGTTTGGATACCCCGATCCGGCAGCGGGCATGTGTTTTAGTCAGGGGTTGTTGACAAGGTTAGAATAGAAATAGTATATTTCAAATTTACTTGTTATTATATATAAACTTATTACAAAGACATCACAATGTTCAGGTGGCTAGCTGGCCTACTGAACGCTCTAAAGCCTTGCAATGCAGATTTTAGGTTTGACATCAATTCACTTTTGGGTATAATCCCATGATTAGACTGATAATACATTGACCCTCAAGGTAACAATAAAACTGTTTTAAATGTATATTGTAGTTTAGCTGAGAGACTGGCTACAGAAGACGTTAAAAATGATTTTACTATAGATTATAAACATGAAGTAAGTAATAAACAATTATAGCTCTTTCTACTACTTCTATATGTACATTGCTTGTCAATTACTCAATCAATCCCCTTACTCAAAAGAATATGACTATAGTCTTTGAGCACTGCTAGCCTGGAGGTCGGGTGTTTGATCCCTGCATTGGCCGAGAAAGTTCATCCAGATTTTCCGGCATGGTTCCCCCTTGTCAGTGATGCAGGATGGAGGGCCTGACAAGGACAGCTGTCTAGTCCTTCGGTTGAGATGAAAATCGAGGTCTCGTGTATACATTGGAATGCACGTAAAAGATCCCTTGGCAGTTGGAATTCGATATAAGAGTAGGCGATGGTGCCACTGCCCGGGCAAAATTTCCCTCATAGCACACTGTATGGCGTATGCCCGTCTTCATTAGCCCAGTATAGGAGCAGAACAGTAGGACGTTAAACCCCATTTCATTTCATTTCTTTGAGCACTATCCATATCTATCCAGTTACCTTGTATCTTGCCTTAATAACTTTTAGTCCACAACAATTTAATTTGCTGTTCTTCAGGAACACCTGCATTGTTCAAAAGCTTTTAGTTCAAAATTTTAAACTAAATATCTTTCATGTGATACAAGTGACTCTATTTAGTTATCAAGATCCTGAAGAACAGAAAATCAAATTAGTGTAGCCTTAGTAAAGATCCACACAGGTTATTTGTATGTGTTATGCCAATTTTTCTTCAGAAATTTGCAATTATCTTACATCTTGTGTATTTCAGCTTGCTTTGTATATATGGAAAGATGGTAAAGGTGTTAATTTAACAAATGTTGAAGAATTTTGTACAATTTCTGATTCACCCAACTGTGTAACAACTTCACCATTCCTCTTCCCTAAATGTGTAAGATATGTTCTTTTATAAATATGCCTGCTACGGAAAAGAATATTTTCCTATTGAATATTCAAAATACTTCAAATATAATAAAATCTATATTGATATTAATGCAATCCCATGTGTTTTACCTCTTTATAAAATTGGGAACTATGGTGGCTTAAGATTACACTGTAATACAGGAGGTCTTGGGATTGAATCTGATGATGGCTGAGAAAATTTCTAAGGATTTTCTAGCCTTGTTTACTCGTGACGCTTGTGTAGAATTGAGTGCCAGGCAAGGAACATTATCTTGTCATTCAGATGAGACAAAACAACAAGGTTTCATATACATGTTGGTGTGCACAATTTGGTGAAGAGGATACAGAAATGGTGCTGTTCAGGCAAAATATCCCTCATGGCACACTTCAATAGCCCAGTTAGTGCAGAAAAAATTGTATGCTATACCTCATTTCATTTCATTTCTTTTCTATTTCAAATGAACAGTCGAGTGGCTTCTTGTAGAGTAAAATAATATGTTATTATTTTCTAGGGTTCACCTGTGTCAAGAAATGACATCTATGTTGCTGTTAAAACATGTGAGAAATTTCATAAAGATAGAAGTAGGTGTAATAGTTTATAATGTCTGATCAAATATACGTCTCCACCAGACCAAAAACATCAAATAGAAATCCGGTAGTCAGGGTGGCTAAATGAGTAGGACGTTGGCTCGCTAGCCTGGGGGTCCTGTATTCAATCCCTGCGTTGCCCGAGAAAGTTTATCAGATTTTTCAAGCGTGGTTCCCCATTGTCAGTGGTGTAGAACGGAGGGCCTAGCAACCGATAACGTATAGTTGTTCCGTTGAGACGAAGAACCGAGGTGCTGTGTACACATTGATGTGCACGTAAAAGAACCATTGACAGTTGGAATTCGATATAAGAGTAAGTAATAGCGCTGCTGTCCGTCAAAATTTACCTCATCGCACACTGCATGGCGTATGTCTGTCTTCATAAGCCCAGTCGGAGCAAAACAAATAGGACCTTAAGCCCTATTTCATTATCTGCATGCATTATTTAATTAATGTTGTTACATATTTAAAGGAAACTGATCAAATTCCATTAGTATTAATTCACATTGAATACTGAATACCAAAACGTTTTGCATTCAAATATTTGTGTGAGCTCTCATTGTATAAATATTAAATTTATATAATCTTTTTCTTGTTTGTAGTACCTATAGTAAAAGCCACATGGGGAAAAGAGAATATAGATATAGAATATTTTAGTGAAACAGAGGATAGTTTGATACCAACGATTGATCTGGGAATACCAAATACAGAAAGAGGTCCTTTAATTTTTTTTTTTATTGCAATGTAAAGAAGTATCTTTTGATGAAGTCTGTTGATATTAAAGTGAAAAAACTTCCTCGGAACCAATTCTAGCCTATAAAAACCAACTAAAAATGTTCAATAGGAAAAATTTTGAAACGGAACCCCAGTATTGTTCTCTGTTAGGAGTAGCCTTAAAGCTGATTGGCTAATAAACTGGAACTTGTGGTTGTTATTAAGTTGCTCTTTATACTTGACAAACAGATGTACTGTAGTCTCAGTCACTCCAGCCAAAGTTGTACCTGCTTGGTCCAGAGAAAGTTGTCTCGGCTTGGACTACAATGATTATTGGCCAGGACAAAATAGCATCAATTATATCAATTATTGTATGTGGTAAATGGCTTTGTGGCTGTTCATAAATATATACAGTCTACATTGCGACTTACGAGAAATGTTGTCTCAATCTGTTATTTATTAGTTCTGTCTACATTTTTCCAGACCTTTATCCATTGGAGTCAATATGAAGTAACATTGTAAATACTCCAGAATAATGGTACAATCTGTTATGATGATTTCATTATACTACCTGTGTTTGTTGTGATTTTAGGTCATTGTGGAAAGACTCTAGCAATAATGAAAAGATTTGTGGAAGAAGAGAAACTATCGTCTAAACAATGGTTGCTGATAGCAGACGATGATACTATCATAAAGTAAGATAATCTATGTCATCTGTTCATAAACAATGTTACCAGGGTAATACACTTTTTGTAAACAACTTACATATGGTTATATGTGTTATATGTGTTGTTGCCTTTATGCATCTTTTAAATGGAGACGCAAAGGCTCAGTGAGTAGGACTCTGGATCGCTAGCATGGAGGTCTCAGGTTCGCTCCCGGTGTTGGCTGAGAAAGTTCCTCATGAATTCCCGGTGCAGTTTACCTTGATGGTAGTGCAGGACGGAGGGCCTGAAAAAAAACAGATGTCTAGTCATTCGGATGGGACAAAAAAAACGAGGTCCGATGTACACATTGGCATGCACATAAAAGATCCCTTGGCAGCTGGAATTTGATGTAAGAGTAGACAGGCATTTTCTATTAGCTGTATTCATTTTGTCTGAATATTAAATTTATGACTCTTCAGGGTTTCCGTTTCAAATTCTTGCAGTCTTTCAGTCAGATGGATTCAGACCACTATTAATATTTATGTTCAACTGCATTTACTGTGCTTTATTGTATTTCATTTTAAAGAGATTACATCATTTGTTATTGTGTTATAACTGTGTACTGTACTTACTTGATCATGTTTTATTGTTATTTTAGTTTAAAGAGATTACATCATTTGTTATTGTGTTATAACTGTGTACTGTACTTACTTGATCATGTTTTATTGTTATTTTAGTTTAAAGAGATTACGTCGTTTGTTATCATGTTATAACTGGAAGGAGGATATAGCATTAGGTGAAAGATATGGTTATGCTTTAAAAGATGGATATGGTTACGATTATATCACTGGTGGAGGAGGGTAAGATTTCTGTTTCTTGATATTTCTGTTTTCTTGTTTCCAATTTTTTGTCCCTTGTCAGTGATGCAGGACAGAGGGCCTGACAAGGACAGATATCTAGTCATTCGGAAGGGATGGAAAACCGAGGTCCTGTGTAGGCCGTAGTGCCGCTGTCTGGGCAAAATTTCCCTAACAGCACACTGAATGGCGTATGTCCGTTTTCATTAGTCCAGTTAGGAGCAGAACAGTAGGACATTAAACCAAATTTCATTTTTCATTTTGTTTCCTATTTGAAAAATTCAGGTGGGTTATCTATTCCTTGCAGGACTCCTGTTACAATTATATTTGCCAGTTGTAACTTATTGGCAGTGACATTAACTGGTTAGAGAACTTTCTTGTTGGTCGAGAAAGTTTCTTGGGATTCTCTAGCTGGCTCTACCCTGATCAGTGGTACAAGAAGGAGGGTCTGAAAGGCAAAAGCAGTCAAAAAGGGCACCTGTGTGTACACTCTTTAGTGTGCACACAGAAAGAACCCTTGACACTTGGAAATCGTTGGGCAAAACACTACTGTCTTGGGTAAATTCCCTTCGTAGCACCTTGCAACATATATGCCCGTCGTCATAAGTCTTGTTTGTGTAGAAAAGTAAGGACGTTAAACCCCATTTCGTTAGTTTGGTTTGTTGCTGTGGATTATTTCATGTGGATTCACATGTGCAGTACTACATGTAAAGTTTATATTTTCAGAATGGTATTTAGTAGAAGTGTGGTACTACATATAAAATTTGTATTTTCAGAATGGTATTTAGTAGAAGTGCAGTAAAAGAAATAGCAAGTCAATGTAAATGTCCGAGTAATGAATCACCTGATGATATGATACTTGGTATGTGTTTAAAAAGAATGAAAATACCTATAATTCACAGTAAATACTTCCATCAGGTGAGTTATCGTATCCTATTACAGATCCTCTTAATGCTGTATTGTAAGAAACTAATACCCAGAATACTCATTAACCCTGCTGCTTCCTGTCAGGGAGTGGTCATCCTCTATACTGAAGGCTGCTGGTTCCAGTCGCCCATGGAAAACATAAGGCTATTTTACTATGAAATAATTGCAATGATGTGAAGTTAATGATTTGTAAAACTTGTGTAGAGTCTGCATCCAACAGGAATATGAAAACAATGGATCGAGGAAACTGATACGAAAGTGTCTTTCACTAGATAAATATTAAAGTTGGTAAATAAAAGAGGTTAGGTCGTAGGAGACCCTACTCCTTGTTACATACAAACCTACGATCCAACCTTTGTTGTGCACATTCATTAGACGGCTCAATCACCCAAACCCAAGATAAAATCGAATAAGAGCTTCACTATACATCTGTAGAGTGTCATAGCCCATGTGTTATACTGGAATACTCTTTATTCATGCTATTGTTTTATACTAGAATACTCCATGCTATATTTGAGGTCCGGTTTGTAACCTATTTTCATACTTGCACATTATAATGTGGTCATGTTGTTGTAATCCATGTCAGTCTGTTGGTCGACTTGTCCACCATATACAATTTAGGCCACACTTATCATCTGATATTTCTGTAATATTTATTAATTGGTTAGATCATTAAACATACATTATGCAAGAGCTAAATCTGCCTATTGTAGGTCTTTCGTAGGGCCTGAAATGTTAACTAAATTATTAATTAGACATTAATTAACTTATCCAGACCATAATCAACTCTCGGTGTCATCGCTAGTCTGCGATATTTACTGGATTAGAACTGCTGCTCAACGCTCATTGATGATTAAATCAAAAAATGGATAATCAGGACTTTTTTTATCGTACCGACTTTAGTAATGATGATCGAGGCTAGGCCCAAAATTCAATCGCTAAATTCCCGGTTCAGAGTGGACCAACTTGACTGAGATTTTCAGCAAATTCCCTTTACATTATCTAGTTTTTAATATTATAGTGAGAACTGCCAGCTCTTTGTCTAATCTCCCATAATGTATCTTTAAGTGAACAAAACCCTCTAAATATACATGTTAATACTTTAGTTATAATTTTGATAATACATGTATGCTATTTATCTATTCCAGGCACGTCCAGAAGATTATAGCTCTGACTTTCTCTCTGATCAAATACCTATTTCCTTTCATAAACATTGGATGGTTGATGCATATAAAGTGTATGATTTATTACTAGAGGGGGATCCAGCAGATCATGATGAACTCTAGAGCTCAACATTCATCAATTAGGCCATACAAAAAAAATATTCTGGTTGTCAGACAATCCTTCAAAACAATCTGATGAATGAGACTTTTCACAAAGTTTTACATTTTATCTCTACTCCTTCCATCTTGTATCCCCATAAAGTATAATTTCAGTCATTTCCTTCCATCTCTTATCCCCATAAAGTATAATTTCAGGCATTTCCTTCCATCTTCTATCCCCATCAAGTATAATTTTAGTCATTTTCTTCCATCTCCCATCCCCATAAAGTATAATTTCAGTCATTTCCTTCCATCTCCTATCCCCATAAAGTATAATTTCAGTCATTTCCATTGCATTACTACAAAGGGGGGGTGGGGGTGTAAGGGGCAAATGTTTTAACATGTGTGCTTTAGATCATGATGTCTGTCATTGAGTGGCATGGTTTCAATTCCCGGCTTGTACGTCTGTCCAACCAGATGTGTTTTCTCCATGTCTTCCTCCCACTGCTAAAGACCCCTACACGTAAGCGAATTATTAAAATAGAATTAGATCATGTTTGTCCCAAAATGACCTAATTTGTGTCTCGTGGATGTTAAACTCCATTCCACTCTCAACCCCATAAAGTATAATTTCATTCATTTTCCTCTCAATACTACATGTAAAATGTACTTAAAAAAAACTAAAAAAATTGAGCATAAGAATGGAAGATTACCATTTTGTGATAAAAATGCATCATTAACCATTAGAGTATTATTTATGATTGTCATAATATTTATCAGGGTTACTTCCCTTTACCTACAAGAATTATGAACATGGGATAATAAATGAGAATGTTTTAAGTTACATGGCAGTATTTGAAAACCAGGGCATTTTTTTATATGGTGTTTATTATGTGCAATTTTACAGGCGGTATGCACCGCTCATACTTTAGCTAACTTTGTATTTTATTGAAATATTAAAAGTCAAATTTCGGTATGACAGTGAGGACTATTCCATCCTTTATTCATGTCTACTCTCTTGGTCTGAATCAGCTTTTGATCAACAACTACACAGATCTATTGGCTTTTCCAGCCACAGGCACTGATACTCTTTCAAGGGAGTGTTGCCATATACCCCCACTGTATCGCATGACAAATATGTTAATTATAAAATATTAATATCTTTATTTAGAATTAAGAAATTATCTTAGCTAGAGTTAGAACGGTGCATATAGGAATAAGAATCTTTTATCTTTGAAAAACTTTTAATTTCTGAAGAGGTAAAAATATGTCTTATTTGTTATGGTATGCTTGCAGAATCAAAAAGTTTTTATTGTGGGAATTTTTATTAATACTGATTTTGTTTTTATACTGTTTTTGTTTTTATTTATAACTGGGGATTTTGCTTAATACTGATTTTGTTTTATTAAATCAGTTCACAGTTTGGGATTATGATCATGGTTGTCCTTATTTATTTTCAAGTAAGTGTTCAGGAATCAAAAAGTGTGGACAACATGAGTGGCAAAGTTTGTTTAATAATATTTGCAGTAGGATAAGTTTTTACGAATCAAAAATATTTAGAAAACATATATTTGTTTTTATACACCCACACATAGTTTGGGGCAGTTTGGGCGTATATAGTTGTTACCCCGTTGGTCCGTCCATAAACAATAGAGGGTTTAGTCTTTAACATCTTTTTCAAATTCAGCTCCTTTCCCGAAAACTTTGTGAACATGATACAGGCTATAGTTTTTAATTTAGTGTGAAGCATTCGGATCATGAGAGGATGAACCCTATCCATATTCAGCGTTTCTCAACCTTCTGTTGTGGTGCCCAATTCCCAAAAAATTGTGAATGCAATACAGGCTTTAGTTCTTAATGGACTTTTTTCAAATTTGGTGGGAAGTATTGGATTATAAGAGGATGAACTCTATAGATATTCTGTTTCATATTTGATGTGAAGCATTTTGGCAATTGAGGACGACCCCGGTCAATATTCAGCAACTTTCATTTCCAGAGTTATCCCCCCTATGCCAAAATATCAGATTTGGTCAACATCCAAGTTTTCCTTTGGGATATGCTGCTGTGGTGGAGGTATTTCCACACTTTGTGGTGGCTATCTTTTATTTATGTGAAAGACAGTACAGCTAGGGATTATAGTCATGGAATGTACAGTACAGCTGTCTTATGTTTTCCTTTACAATAGCTACACATCTTGTGCATTAATGAATGGAATTCGAGTCAGTTGTCTTGTTAAATGGACTAAATTGGGGTTTTTTTTTATCAAATTTCCTACTGCTGTAGCTAAAAAGCAAATGAATTACTTAAATCAAGAAATTACTGGATATCAGTCCTGAAATGAGCTGCTTGTGTTAAGTGGATGTTAAACCTTATTTCTTATAATTGTTATATTTTATTGCCACCAAATCAAATGACATGTTATTACCTGGTATGTGGTTCTAGAATGATGGTGTTTCCGTCAAGTTATATTATCATTCTACAGATCTGATGTTATTTCTGAATCTCTTTGAGGATTATTTTCGTAGGTTTTTTTTTAAAATTGTATTTTTGTAATGATATAATTTGTTTGTGGGTTTATTAGTACTATATATATTGGTACAATATGAATTGTATAAAGTTAAAAATTTTTGGTTTGTTATTTATGAACATTGTAAAATCTACTAAAAAAACCAACAAAGGGCAGATAAATAAAGAAAATCAAGTAGAAAAGGATAAAATTAATTTGTTTTTGAATAATTAAAGTGGGGTTATGAGTAGACATCTTACTTGATTGTTTATATGTGGTCCAAATAATGAGATGAAATGGGGTTTAACTGTTCTGCTCTGACTGGGCTAATGTAGATGGGCATATGCCATGAGGCAAATTTTGCCTGGACATAGGTGCTATGGCCTACTCTTATTTCAAATTCCAACTGTTAAGGGTTCATTAACGTGCACATCAATGTGTACACAGGATCTTGGTTTTTCTTCCCATCGAAACAAATATCTGTTGTCCCTTGCCAGTCCCTCAGTCCTGTATCAATGACAAAGGAGAATCACATTTGAAAATCCTGATGAACTTTCTCCGCGACCACCGGGATCGAGCACACTGAATCTCCAGGTTAGTGAGCCAACATCTTGCTCACTCAACCTCCATCTTTAGATACACCACTTTTCCAATTACTTTATCATCCTAATCCCAATTGACTGATTATTAACCAACCAAACCACTTTAAATCTGTCAGCTGACTGAAACCCTAATTTCTTTATAACCACTGTAGATTTGATGACCAGCCAGACATAAGGGATGCATTGTCCAGGATTTTTCATCGCTATTGGATATTCAAATGGGTATGACAGATTGTCCCCAGTATTTTATTGTTTGTCTGTATTAAAGGTCAATGTGTTAAGTTTTGTATAAGTTAAACAGTGGCAAAGAGAAACTCTTGCCAGGGGATCTTTACAGCTTAGACACTGTCCTTGTCAGGCCCTCCATCCTGCACCACTGACAAGGGGAACCAGACTGGAAAATCCTGAGTAACTTTGTCAGTCAACACCAGGTTCAAACCCAGGACTAATTATCTATATCGATGAGAAAGTGGATCGAGTGGTTTGGTTGTGCATGGCCGCCCTATATTTATCAAGTGTTTGGAATATTGTGTCTAAAGACTTCACATCTGTAAGATTATTGAAATCAAATGGTGTCCTATTTTTTGGCACCCACTGGTCTAATAAAGACAGACATGCAGTCGTACGTAACTAACGTACGAAAATTAAATGGTAGCTGGCTGTTTTTTCGCACGTATACAGTGAATGGCCATTTTGCTCAGTAATCCCAGCCAGAATTTGGCTATTTTTTTAAAATTGCGTTAAAGTTTTAAATTTTTGTTTAGAACTGAAATAAGTTAACTTTTAGTCAATCCCCACACTAAAAACATTAACAGAATTGATTGTGTATATCTGAAATAGACACGACTGAAGCACAAAATAGTGCCAATATGCCGACGTCAAATCTAGAGTTGTAGATGATGTTATTTTTGTGAAAAATCATTGGAAGAAGCGATAAGACGTTCTGTACGGATTATTCAGTCCTAAAGGCTGCAAGAAGGCTATTGTTTACAATGTAACATTGTGTCTTGTAATGTTGATAATGATCATAATGATGGTGTTTACATTTGTTTGTTGATGTGACCTCATGACCTGTGACGTTTAGATAATGTCATATGGATATCATGGCTATTCACTGTGTCAGTCACTGTGTCAGAGTCACTTCTCTGCAGGTAGGGTGAGTCTGTCGTTCAGATTGACATGCAGTGTGTTATGAAGGATATTTTGACTGGACACTGGCGTTTCCACAAATTCTTTGTCAACTTCCAACTGCCAAGGGTTCTTTCATGTGTACAGGACCTCAATTCCTATACTGTCCAAATGACAAGATGCCATTCCTTGCCAGGTTCTTCGTACGGCACCATATTTATCACAAATAAGACAAAGACAATATGTTGGGGGAAATGAACAATGTGCATTTTATTGGAAATAAATTATCCAACTATATAATAATATATACATTGTACATTGTCAAAAACTTTGTTTCTATTGCATCAAATCCAAGTAATGGACTTTCTGAGGTTAAATAATTGACTATTATTTAAATATCAAGGGCTGTCGAGACAGCGAATAGGAATTAAATATACACAGGTTTTATATAAATAAACTTCACAACTCATACAGATTTAATATATAAAACAAACTTCTTAATCGTACATCGACAAACACTCATCTTACGCGCTACGCTCTCCAATAAACAAGGGGGATAACTTGTCATATGTTGTGTATACAATGGTAGAGATTCTGGTCACTACCCGTTTTCTATAGAAATATTTGGATTTGGTTAAGATTGTCATTTAAATAAATAGAAAAGAGTCAATAAATAATTTATACCCTATAGTATCAGTATCTGAACTTGTTTGTTGGGACTCGCGTTCACATCTATGAGGTATTCATTCCTCAAACATTGGCCAGCCTGGAAGTTAGCCAACTGAAACAGACAATGTTAGACTAAATTCAAGCTTTGTCAGGAACAATTCCGCTAGTGCCTGACAGTATCCATGTTTTTTATTCCTTGTATTTTTCATGTATAGCCAGCACAAGCTTAAGAGTGTTCGGTGCAACTAAAATCATAATTTCCAATTTTCAGGTCTGCCTTTTAAAGCCAATCATTTCTAACAATCTGTTAACATATTTTACCTGTATCAAGGTATTTTTCATTGACAAAGAAAATATTCCTTCAACAATATTATCAAGGTTGGTCATATCAGAAAATTCTAATTTCTAATCAACATAGTTGACCTAGCAAACTCCAAATTCAATGTAAACATATTAATTACCACTATAGTCAAGATAAAAGAAATGCTTATAATATAGTCAACTAGAGTTGAAATAGCTTCATTATACAGGCCATTTTCGGAAAACCATATTCTCTTGCTGAAAATTTCGACTCTTAGATGCATGATAGCCAAAAAGATGGTGGGGGGGGGGGGGATTTTCCCGTTTTTTTTCCACACTAAGTACTAATGGAGTTTTCATTTATCAGAATGTTCGGAATTCAGGAAATTTCAATCAAGTGACTCCTGTCACCTTCCAAGAGATTGAGAGAATTCTGCAACTTTCAGTTGAGATTTACAATTATTTTGGGATGGGACTTCCTGTAGACTACTATTCAATGACAGAAGAAAACAATTTTTTTGCTACGGCACTCACAGAGTCGCTGTGTTGACAAGAGACTACAGGTTTCCGAGAAAGTATATATATATACATATAATCATAATTATACATATTAATTAGAAACAATATACTTCATAAACATAGCGGTATATTATCAAACATGTTGCAAAACATACCATAAATGCAGTAATATTCATTATCATATCACAGAAGATAAAAGCAACAAAAAAATACATGCAAAGCAGACAAAAATGTTTGTAACATACTAATTTTACACTTCATATATACTTTGCAAATATTTGAGACTGGGATTTGTTACCCCCAAAATTGTAACTTTTTAACATTTTGATTCAAAATACATGTTTGCAGTTTGCCGTTTTAGACAATATAGGCAAACTGCAAAGATTCCTAGCTTCAATAAATACTAGTTTTAACTATATCATACATGTATCTTTACCCTCCATCAAGTTACAATTTTCTTAGGTAACATGCTCAGAAATTATCCAAAAAAAAGAAAAAAACATTTGAAGTAAATACCTGGACCAGTGATTTGGTTGAAATCCAGGTATGAATGATTTAAAATGAAATAACAATAAATGGTGAAACTAAGGCTCATATACCTGTACAACTCAAACCAGACACATCGCCATTAATCATTGATAGTTTGAGATACATGTACAAGCCTTTGATTAACCAGATTTCAGCTTACCCTATTAATTTGATACATGTTGTTAAACTAGCTTCACCTGACTGGTTAAAATTTGGATTCCATTCCAATAACAATTTTCAGCCAATCAGATAGCTTCAAATATGATTTGTTAACCCAGAATGGTATTGGCTGTACCTGACTGGTTGAAATTTAAATTCCGATAAAAACATGTTCAGCCAATCAGATAGCTTCAACCCATATTGGTGTTACATGCCTACTCATGAAAATCAAATCGTTAATCTAAACTCAATGTAACTATCCAAAAAATGATGAAGATAGTATTAAATAAGAGCTGTACATTTCATATGGGCCTACATGACCAAATGAATTCGATTATTTTTTTCTTGGAGATTACCAAAGATTTCAATTTGAACAAAAATTGAAACTAACGGTGTATGTATATATATATATATATATATTATATACATAAAAAAATCACCAGTATTCTACTTCTATATGACTAAATAGAAATTTACTAAAAATCAGCTGATGTTAAAAAAAAAACATTGACCACATTATATAGAAATCATGGCATGGTCATTAATTAGTTTCTTCTTTAAAGATGCATTATGTAAGAGCTAAGTCTACCTATTACATGTCTTTCATTTGGCTTCAAATGTTATATAAATTATTATTTAGACATTCAATGACATGACAAGCCTATAATCAAATGGTCTAAGTCTTGGTTGTCAAGTACCATTGCTACGATAATGAACAATCTACACAGTATTATTACAGCAAGAAAGTCCAGCACTTTATCTAAATCTTATATAATGCATCTTTAAGCGTGTGAGTGTTTAAAAGGTGATAAATTATGGAAATGAAATTTACAAATTTGAAATATGAGGGATAAAAATGCCTTGACATATAAACAATGTCTTAATATATAAGTTTTAAGCTTACAATTGAAAGACTAAAACAACAATATTTATTATATATTTGGTGAAAGCACAGAGAAAAGAACCCAGATGCATGATAAAATGAACATCTATAATCTTTTTTTTATAAATTATTATTACATACATTAAGTTTTACTACATTGAGATATATATAAACAATGAAAAACATTTTTTGTTTTGGTGTTTTTTTTCTGTATAATACTACTATTGGAATATATTCATCTTCACATTGTTAAGACATTATGACATATGTCCGTTACCTTGACTGAGTTAGCCGTTTTATTGTACATTGGAAAATGCATCAGAAATAAGAAAACTTTAAATGAAATGAAATGGGGTTTCACATCCTACTGTTCAAGAAAACTTTTAAAAAGGTTTGATTACTAGGCTTAATGCCTAAAATGGATTTATAACAAGCCCTACAGCTGATGTGCTCTGCGATACAACAACATCAGCCAACACAGTCAAGGTATCAGTATGTTGTAATACCATTACAATATGAATATGTAGTATAATATGATATACAGGCACTATAATGATGAATGAAATATATTAAAATTAAAACAACTATATACAATAAAATATGATAAATCTATTTACATGAGACTAAGAAACCGTTTTTTTATATAAACGGTTTATGAAGAATATCAAGTCAACTATAATAAACTAGAACAAATAACACTATTCACTTCCTAAACCCTTCACAGAAGTTGGTCTTTCCTTCAAATTTCTCTTACTGTCATCATCCAACTTCACACACACACATACATCAAATATCAATTTTACGTTAATTCTCCCGTCACAAACGAGAAAGTTCCAGATTTTCTGTCATACAAATTTTGCAAATAACACATTATGATTCACAATATCTGTCCAGTTCTTCTCAAAACCATAGATCAATTTTCCAACTAAAATTCCCTTCAATCAAAATAGTGTATTAAAAGTTGAGATTTGATGAAATATGAAGTTAATAAGAGTGATTTACATGTGATAAATGAAAATATAAGAAAAGCTACTATCACGACAACAGTATACATGGCACACAACCTAAATATATATGGAATTCAAACATATCATTATACAAGGATATTTTTATAACATTTTCTTCTAAAAGATGAAATCATTCTCATATTATCTTATTTTATCCATTTGAATTATAGCACAATAAGAGGTTTGATGCCACCACAATAACTATTTTCTGTCCATTTAACATATTCCTCAGGTGAACTCAATCAATAACAGTTCAGGTGACTAAACAACTATTTTTTGGTCTTTTTTCGTGTATTTTTCCGGTGAAAAACATTCGCGTCTTTTCCTCCTCGCAAGATAAACCAGCACAGTGACGATGGATGAAGGTGATAAACAACAACGGCAAGAATCATGTGTAAAATATCTCAAAACATCAAATTGCACAAAGCAAAAAATTCGGATGAAAATAAGTATATCACATGATGCAGAACGGTGACGATAAAAAAAATCGGACATTAATAATGCCCATGGTATACGTATAATGATTTTATATCTATTATAAGTATATCTATATGTAAACAGATATATCAGGGTGTATAATAAAATGCAGTATTTCTTAACAGCAAAAACAATCAACAGCATTTTACTCTTATTATTATACAGTTTTTGTCCATGGTTTATTGACGGTAAATTAGGCAGTTGATTCTCATGTGTTCTTTTATTTAAGTAAGAGACTTCTACAGTTCTTTTGAACTGGTTTTATTCTAAACTTTTAACATTCCTGGAATAATTCTAATCTTAGTTTGTACTGAACTGAATATAGTTCTATTTCATCGGGTACTCTTCGTGGATATAATTTTGTTTAATCTATGCTGGTACCGTTCCTGGAGTTTGGAGATTAGACAATCTATGTTCAACGGAGAGTTTATCTGTAAAACAATAAACAAAATAAAATTGTACTAAAATAGAAAGAAAGACAATTGAATTTGAAACAGGTTGCCAGGCAATGAAAAATTTATTATGATAACTTCATCTTTTCGTATATTAAATCAAAACGCATCATTTCATGAACATAAAAACTGTGTATAAATTTCAAGTCAATCAGATCATAACTTTAGTCTCGAGAGCAACCACAAGGTTTTTCAAATTTCTCCAAGACCATAACTCAGACAGTAATTATCGTAATGTGTGTAAATTATCAGTCTGATGATGTTTTCTAGTTTTACAAACTGGAGGGAAATACTTACATTTATTCAAGAGATCTTTATCTCTAGCATTTCTAGTTTGTTGAGCCAAGCTATGTAATAATATCTGGGCTACCGTATATCGACGGAAACATTCCTGTGGATTTCCAAATAATTCATCTAATGCAGCAGATTGGCACTGAAATAACAAAAGAAACAATAAAACAATGGTAAATAATTTGTAAATTTATTTAATTAGGCTAAACTAATTTATTTTTAGTTCTGTTCAGTTTTCCAAATAAAATAGCCACTCTAGTCTCATGGAAGACTTTTTGTTTATAATTTATAAACCTAAAAATTTAGAACTAAAAGCTTTTGAAAATAGCAATCAAGTACTTCTTGTTTTAAAATTATTTTTTCATGAAGAAATAGAAAACAACGTTGTGTGTAAACAAATTCATCTTTGGTGTGACTTTATCTGTATAGACTTCTATGACACTGAATGTAAATCAAGTGTTGTGCTGGAGTGTATATAACAAGACTGGCATACAACGTCTGCCTCTTGAAGGTTTTACGTCTGCTTCCACAATAGTGATATCGCAAACATGACCCTTTTTACTCTACATAGGAGCCTATCTGATTCCACTCTTTCAAAATAGTTTACAAAGCTAGTGCTTCAAACGTACATAAAAAGACTGGGTCGGAATCTTGTGCTCCATGCAAGGCTCTACAATGCGACTGAAACACTCGCATTTGCGAGTGAATTTTGACAATGGCGACCAGATATTTATAAATGCTAGGTTTCTGGCGAGTGAACATATATCTTGAAGTCCCCAATTAACACTATAGCTATCTGAACTTTTCTCCGTAAAGATAACGTAATCGGCAATGATCCCAGTCAAATGTCACTCTTGTTACTTTCCTGGTTTGAAATTGGGTCAATCTCATTGTCCTCTGCGAGGAAATTCTCATTGCGCATGCACTGTATTTATCGGAAGTTTGCAAGACAGCTGACTGCATGGCTAGCAGACGAATCAAACCTATATCGTCTTACTTTACTAGTAAAGTAACTTCGTCTCGCAGTGAGTCTCAGTTGGGGAAAAATGATGATAGTCATGGTACTGACGCTACACCACCCAAACACGCAGTGAGTCCCAGTCGGAAAAAAATGTTTAAAACATCTTTTTTTATTATTATTATAGGACGACGAGTTATGTATGTTCACAATATAATTTAGCTATATCATACGACAAATTATTCTAATCTTCAGACTTGGCAACTGAAAATTTTGTTTGGCTAGTGGTTTTGAAAATTTACTTATGTTTGCACAAGTAAGTTCAAAATGCTGTGTAGAACCTCGGCTCCATGAAAATACCAGATAACACCACTATTCCAGAAAAAAATTATATAGGCTGTTTGCTTTTTAATCCTTTTAAACTAAATAAAATAATCTTAAAATTTAATTAAACTTACCATTTCAATAGCATAGTTATAAATAAGTTTATCTGCTGTTGATACAACTAACTGTGGTGTTAATGGTGTTTTACAGATTTTAGCCAATCGTTGATGTAATATTCTACATTCTGATACACACTTGTGGTATAGTTTATTCATATCACATAAAACTAGAAATAAATAAAACAAATTATTCAACATGGGCAATATAGTGTAACAAACATCAGAATTATTTGGAAAAATGGAAAGTCTGAATTGCCATTATCCAGTTTTTGAAAACTTTTGAGACTAACATATGATAGTTTTTGTTTCAATATTCACATGGGCAATGCAAGGGGAAGAATTTTATTCAGACAGCAGCACACTTCTGTCTACTCTTCTTAGAATTCCGCCTGCAAAGGATTCTTTTACGTGCATACCAATGTGTACATGGTTTTACATCCCATCCAAACGACTAGGCACATTTTACTTGTCAACCTTGTCAGTGCTACCCCTGGCTTTAAAAGTTCCATTCTAGTCATGAGGCCAGTGCCCTATCCCTCAGAGATAATCATATAAAGTAATGTGTAAATGTATATCACAGAGATAATCATATATTGGTATAAGTAATGTATTAATATTTACCACCCAGAGATAATCATATATAAGTAATATATAAATGTTTACCACCCAGAGATAATCATATAAAGTAATATATAAATGTATATCACAGAGATAATCAAGTCTAGGTAATGTATAAATGTTAACCACCCAGACATAATCATATATTAGTAATGTATAAATATTTACCTGATCTAAGTGTATTAGAAGCTTGTAATTTCTCCATCTTTATTTCTTGTCTAGACAGTTGTAAAGCTGATGATAATAAATGCAGAGATCTAACATAGAGGACTAGCTGCTCTAGATGTCTATAATATAAAATAATACAACATTTAAACAATCAATCAGTTACAATGCATTGCTGCTTGAATCCCAAATATGTTCATCTGAAGATATGATCAATGTTCTAATTGGGGAAAATAAGAATTGTAATTCTAGAAAAACCATTTCTAATTTTGATTCATCAATTGTATCTCGGTCAAAAGTTTTATATTTTAGATACTTTCTCTTTGTTTAATTATAAATGCTATCTTGTAAAATAACAGTTCTGTGTAATGTTCCTTTGCACACTATTTGAAATATTCTCTCCCTATTTCCATGTCATGTGAATCATATTTTAAATATTCTCTCTCAGTTTCATAATAAATGCTACTTTATTTTGTGAAATAACAGTTGTGTTTCTATGACCCTGTGAACTATATTCTTTATTTAGGAATTGAAAGTAAAATATATACCTTTGAGCTTCAGTAAATCTAGGTACTTGTTCAGCTGGTAGACTATCACCTTGTTTAGATGAGAAGGAATCAGTGAATGATGTCAAGGCAGCACCTCGTACTTGAGCTAACTCCATGATACATTCAACTAAATCCAACACAAACGTTAACTTGGCCATTATTTCATTATGTTCATCCTGTAAGTAAACCAATGGAGTTGTTAGAACAACACCAAAAGCAAAGGGTAAGGGTGGGGTAGGGGGCTGTGGTGTAGGCGTATTAAAAAATATAAACAATATACAAAATGTTTTGTTATTCTCTTTGTGATGCAAATATCACACGAAAATTATAAACTACTGCAGAAAATGTTATCTAATATACACAATGTTTTGTTTTTCCCTTTTAAAACAAAAATTGAGAACAAAAAATTATGATCGCTGCAGAAAATAATATGATATCTGTTATTGGGCCCACACAACTTTTAACCTCAGTCCTGATGGTGCTCTCAATGACCCTCTTTAGAACACTCAATACTACTTATAATTTATCTGCGACGTTCACTTGTTAACAAATGATACTAGTTTAAATATTTATGTAATATTTAACCAGTAAAATTTAGTAGAGTCAGATTTACAAAAACCTGTTTGAGTATGTCAAATTGAATCACATCAGCTGAGCAATATATGATAGCTTAGTCATGTATCTGAAGTTAAAATTTAAAAATTCTTACATCCATCAGCGTTTCTTCAGATAGTTCAGGAGCAACAAATGTTATGGGTCCCTCCATGTTGGGTGGAGACTGAGCATAAAGACCGGAGACAGGTGGTGAGGTTTCCATGAAGGAACTACTACTTCTTCTAAAGAAAGATGAAGATCTTTCCCTCTCTAGAGAACTCTGTTTATCTATGTTTTCTCGACTGTTTGATCTACCATTGCTAAACGGCACCACAGTTCCTGTTGATAGAAAATAAAATAACAAACTTAAATAATGTGAGGAAAATTTCAACATGGACGTGACACTGACAAAATCATATCAGTTTTAATAGTTGAATTTCATCATTTTTAAAATTTCAGGCTGTCATATATACATTACAATGGACAGAGAGAGACAGAGAAATGGTGTTTAACGCTCCGAGTCAACACAAACTAGGTCATTATGGGTACATTTTTATTTCAATAATTTACTTGTGCTTAGGAGTCTTAAGCAGTGGGAGGAAACCAGAGGACCTGGATAAAACTAATGAGGTAGATTTTAGACCCTACTCCTTGTCACGCACCAGCTTGGGAGTCAGATAGAAACCATGCTTCATGATTTATCGACTGGCCATGTGATCTAAAGTATAGCGAGGGGTGTAACTCCTAATAGCTCAAACCAATCTATCCAGAAGTGAATATGTGTCACATAGCCAGTTCTGACATCAGAATTATAGTGCTAGAAGTGACCATGTGCCATATATCCACTTCTGGCCGAATCGGTTTTATGATGGTAGGCTTTAATCAAAATCAGGAAAATTGGAGACATTCACTTCTGTTTCTGAGCCCTCGATTTGTGTTTGACAACTCAGTCCCCAACCCAACCTTATTTAAAAGTATCTGCTATTCCATGCTATTTTCATCTTTTTTGTTAGCTCTTTCCTGTAAAAATGAGGGTAAACTAGGGGCTAATGAGATGATTTATTGCAGGAAATAAATTGTTTATATTACCTGGTGGAGGATGAGCGAAGGCAGCCCTTAATAACTGTTGAGATAATAAACTGGTTCCTTTATTAAATTCAGGATCTGTATTAGATCGGTGATATTCTAATCTACTATTCTCTGGTGAAACTATAATCAAACAAATATAAGATTACATCTATGATATTCTAATCTATTATTACATAAGAAAAGGGAAGATAATATTTGTATAATTCTATTCATTAAACTAGTCTAAGGGTGAATTTTATGGTGTGGCTATGATGCACTAAGACTAAAACTCAATTAAAAAAAATTTTTCTGTCCTTACAGATTAACATGCGCATGCTATAATGATTACTAACTAAGCTAAATAGATAAATATACTCTTCAAAAAAAGTAGGGGATATTGAAATGCAAATACCTATGCAGGATGCGATATGATAAATAGCCATGGACATTTGACATGCTTTGAGAGTATGTTCACAGATGAAGAACTTATCGCCCCAACAGAACCACTGAGCTGCACATGCGACACGCAATTAGCGCTATACACGTGGGAGGGGTTCATTGTCAAATTTTACATTTCAAGGAAAACTGGTGGAGCAATTACTCATTATTCAGACAAAAATCAAAAACATCCATTTTCACTTTTGACGGTGTATCGCTTTGCGAGTGAAATGGGGCCCTCAGATAAACCACCCATATGAACTGTTTATGTTCATGTGTAGGCAATTGGCCTGTTACTAACATACACTGGTTACCTCCAACAAAAACAGCAGTGCAATTCCGCAGTTTTGTATTGTTTCTGAATATCCCCTACTTTTTTTGAAGAGTATATAAAACAGTACATACTCTCTCTAAAACCTATAGCAGGAACATTATCTCGATTGTTACAACCAAATGGTACCGGGTCTTGTGTGATAGGTTCTGGAAGCTGTTTAAAATTATAACCATCTTTTAATTTAGTTGGAGAACCTAATATGGTTGGTAACGCACCACAAGAACCAAATGGTAGTGGAGATATTCTTGGTGATGATCCTACAAAAAATTTAAAACATTCTTTAATCTATATTAATTCCAACATTTTTTGTTTATTCTTGGTTTTTCTTGTTTAGTTTGAATAAAGTTTATTTAAAGTAAATGTAGTAAATACCAGCAGAGCGTCTTAAGGGAGAACCAGTGATACTTGGTGGGGTACCTGATGGTCTGGTCGGTGGAGTATTTGCACTACTTCGTCTCCACTGTCCAGTTGTACTTGGTGGTGTACCAATAGAAAACTGAACTACAATATCAAACATAAAATTATTCACCTTGGATCATGGTACACATACATCTTCAGTTTTTAATGATTTACAGAGTGTGAAAAGAGCGACAGAGACATTGAAGTCCAATGCTATACGATCATGGTTTCATCTAAATACAGACATTTACTGACAATATGGATTGTGGTAAGATTGTGGTACTGAATTAAACATGTATGTTATTATAGGATTCGAAATAGACATTCGAAGGGACCTAAAAATGGCTCTAACCAAGATGGTACTTTTGGTCTATATTTTAGGGATTTTGAATCCCTTACAAGCTATAATATTCTAAAAGTTGAATCTCTATAAGGAATATCAGTTCAAGAATGGTTCTATTCTGTTCCGTATTTACAAAGATATGATAAATTGAAAATTTCGCAATATGTGGCATCTTCTGCAGACAATATAAACACGTAAGCACTGTTTAAAATCTTTTGATTGGCTTCTGTTTAATCAGATTGAATACAAGCCAGGAGATTATCTACAGTATATATTTATAAGATATAAAACTAACCTGATGGTGGAGATAATGAACCTATATCAGGACCAGATAAAACATTTTCAGAATATCTTCGGGTTCTATTTTTTTCTACTCTCTAAAAATATAAAACAAATATATCATATTACACAGATTCCACCATTTGCATAAAATATAAAACAAATGTATGATTTTACAAATATTCTTTCTACTCTCTAAATAAAAACAAATGTATCATCTACACAGATTACACCATTTGTAAGAATAAAATAATTCATACTCTTTTCTTCTTCCGAAACTGTCAAAGGGGGACTCCATAGTCAGTCCGTAATTGGCAGAATTACAATCAAGTGACAGAGAATATAGTCCTGTCACATGCACTGTGAGCAGAATCGTGAAATAATTAAACATTTCAGTTATAGTGATACTGATTTGTTGAGAGAGTATCATATTCAGTTGGTGAATATTCGGGTGGTAACCTGATCGACACGTTTTGAGGGATTGAAAGAAATCAATTCTATATTGTATCCATATGTATGCAAAAATGAATCGTAAATAATTACAAAAATAATTTAAGACAAATATTGGGGAAAATCCATAAATAAATGTTACATCGGTAAAAATTTTAAACAGATTATAATCAGCTATTAATTAAAAATAAAACTTACAATAGGTGAATCTGACATAATACGTTTTATAACAGGACTAGTAGGAGAGGTTGTGTGTAGTTTTTGATAAGCTCTCATCTGTGACGGTACAGGTATTGGATCTGATGGTGTAGGTGAGGTAGTAGGACTAGATACACACAGAGTGGCTGGTCGACTAGGACTTGTCTGAGCATCTTTTCTAAACGTAACTGTTCCAGTAGCTGGACTTGCTGCTACAACTCTTAATGAATGGGGTGGCCCATCACTGTAATAATAAATTGTACAAAATGATTATACTCATATAACAAATAAGGTGGACCATCAGTGTAATAAACAAGACTCAGTTATCAACACCCCTCCCATTGAATAAGCCTACCAAGAACAAAGTCAATTCTTGTTTACATTTGAGTAGAGATAGGACAAATTAAGCAAAATCTGTTTTGTTATTAAACATTTTCATAACTTTACTAAAACTGTTGACTGTTATATTATCAGCATTGGCTCTTATCTGTGTACCTGAAGTTAACCTTGCCCCTCTTTGTCACCACCCGAAACTCAATTGAAAATAAAAGAGAGTAATTATTATATAAAACAAACCTAATAATATCCATTTCTTCTTCTGCTAATGGAGCATTCAATACAGCACCCATACTACCACCTAAAACATAAAACATACAGTTATTAGGACATAAAAATATAGTTATATAGTTCTTACATTACGTAAGAATTATCAGAAAGAGTTTGCCGTTCTTGCTATAATAGTTCAAAAGTAGATAATGCAATATGAATATATTGAAAATTTGATTGAAGTTTTGACAAAATTTAGCAAAGATTGTAGCAACAGTACTTGACAATGAAGACTAAGTCATGATTATCTTTTTTATCGTTTAAACTCTTAAATGGCCACGGTGTTTTAATCTACTTAAAATCGAAGCCATTTGAAGCCCGAGTTGATTATGGATTTGTTATGTTAATAAATTTTCACATAATAATGCATATAGCATTTAAAGCCATAAAAAAGACCTGCAATAAGCAGATTTAGCTCTCACAAAAGGCATCTTCAATTATATTTTTTCATACTTCAAAGATATTTACCTGAATTATCAGACGGTAATGATGGTGGAACCAAAACAAAATCCTACAAAATATAAATTCAAGTTAATTTAGATAAAGTTACAATACCGAGAAGAGATAATCCTGGCTACTGTTTACATTCACTCAACATTACCATTTCTTTTTCTTAAATCACAATCATAAAAATAACAGGTGACTTAAAAGTTGTGGATGTTCATCGTGCATTTTTAGGACAACATCTAATTATTTGTGGCTTAATCCATGCTAATATGTACGCAAATTGATTACCTAACATTAAGAAATTAACAAAGTAAAACAAAATATCAATAGTATATAATCTGCTGAGGATACCGAGGGATATACTGTATAGAAGGGAACCATATTTGGATTAATATTCCTTTTAAAGATTAAACTTTTATAATATTGTAGTTTGCAGAAGGATTCAAAATTCTTCAAATGAGGATAAGCCATTTTAATTAAAGAAATAATGTAGAATTTCTTACATCAGGCGGACTTCTGCTTATAGGTCTACGAGCCTGTTCTTTCTCTATTTTCAAGAAATCTTCTTCGGCTTCAGAACCTGGTGCACCGGAAAATACATCATCTTTACCACCCTGTAATGTAAGATGACGTTTAAAGTATCAACCTCACTATCTCAACCAAATTCACTGAACTAGTTTTTGCGAACCTCAATCCAAGATCAAACCCTACCTATTAATCGTGTGCTATATTAGATACCCAGCACGTAAGATGACCAGTATGTAAAATCAGACATGTAATATACCTGTTGGGGTGATGTAGTAAAATCCATATTACTAGATGATGGTGAAGACGTTGTGTGTTTACCGGGTGTTGACCCCTCCGAGGAATAAGTTGGACTTCTATTTGGCACAGGTACTGGAGAAGCTGTAACAGATGTGATGTAAATAATTGTAATAATCTGATATTGTGATTTAGTCAGATTTCTTTCCCTTGTTAATATTTGCAATTACTTTTTTATAACAGCATTTATCAGACAGTATCCACACTAAAATATATTCAAATGCAATCAAAGTCAAAATATCAATGGTAGATATTTCCTATATATGTATAATATAGTACTTACATGTTGTCTTGACAACTGGCTTTAAGAAAGGATGTATAAAGAAATCATCTATAAAAAAAAAACAAAATAAATTTATTTTTTTAGTGACTTAAAACCGTGACACAATTTAAACTGCGTTGACCATAGGTATGTTGAGTTCTAAAATCATTACTTTTACTTTCGGTGAGGGCATATATAGAATAAAAAATCATGTGAAATAAAGAATCTGAATCAGGGCTCCTTATAAAGTTTGATATGATTTCTATGATGTGATAAGTAAGGCATTTTTAAATTAAGAATGTTTTCAAATGATTGGATACTTCTAAGAGGGTTGCTACTAGTAGCTGGTAGTTTAAAGTCTGCTTCCAGCTTCCACATCAGTAATATCACAGACAAAGCAGAAATACAAAAATCTAATGGCAGAAATGATAATACATACCAAATTCAATCCTGTCCTTTGCATTTCTCTTCAGCAGTTTTAGAAGTAAGTCCCTTAGTTCTGGAGAAGTTGTTTGAGGAATACTGTAAATAAAGAATAAACAGAAATATATTAGTTAGGTAAAAGGGAGACCATGAACCATGTATCATTTAATACATCAATACAGGGCTATAGTGAAGCTCTTTGGTATAATTAAGGGTCAAGCTATAGTGAGGCCCTTCGGTATAATTAAGGGTCATGCTATGGTGAAGCCTTTCAGTATAATTCAGTATAATTAGTATAATGAAAGTTTACAGTCAAGCCAAATTCTACCTGCATTACTTTTCATGGTTAAATGTTACAATAAAAAACAAAATATTTATGACTCCAGCACAATTAGATTGCTCAAATTTAACAATTTAGTTCTGTAAATGTTCATATTTATTTAATATTTAGTAATATCCATAAGATTTGTTTAAATGGTTGCCAGTTTGATAGTAAAGTTTGAAAAAATCAATATGTTAAACATGCATTATGCAAGAGCTAAATCTGCCTATTGCAGGTCTTTCTTTAGGCCTGAAATGTTTTCTAAAGTATTAATTAGACGTTAATTAACTGATCTAGGCCTTAATCAACTCTCGATGGCATCAGATTTCTCCGATATTAAATAGATTAGAATGGTTCAGCGATACTTTGATTTAATCAAATATGAGGGACCGAGACTTAGCTTCGATCAACCAGTACGGTGGTTGAAATTATTGCACACGTCTGTCAAACCTTCAAAGGCTAATATCTTCGCTTGCAATAGAGTAATTTGAATGAAATTTTCAAATTATTCATTTTACATCATCTACTTTCGAACTATTTTATCTAAATCTTACATAATGTATCTTTAATAAAGTGTAGATGAAGAACTGTGCATAAAGCCAAATGACAAAAAGAAAAATATTTTTCTTACTTAGGTTTGAGTTCACTGTGCTTTTCATAGAATTGTTTTAATTGTTGTGGTGTCTGAGCCTGAAACGGTGCTTTTCCTGTTAGACACTGGAAGACAATGGTACCAATACTCCATAAATCAGCTTTAGCATCATACTGTAAGGACATTATCACTTCGGGTGCCTGAAGAAAAACAAACACAAAAAATACTATAACAAAAGCTTGATATACATAAAATACATTAATCAATGCTTTTTTGCAATTCATTTCTTCTTTTTTATTTATTTTTTTTTACCTAAATAAGGACACTTCCTCAAACTACATATTTTAACATATTATTTTTTATATATTATTTAATGTTTTTTCAATCAGTTATAAGTATGTTAAAACCACATAGTACAACTGCTGGGAATTGAGGAAATTATAATAGATATATGGATAGTCTGACAACATCACAGATGACTAAATCAAAGGTTCATTGTTGAAATTCTTGTGACATCATTTGAATGTTATTCATAGTCAACTAAACTACAAGTCATATATTATTGAACACACCCAAATAATCAATATGTATAAGGGGAGGTAATTCTGTCTGTTTGACCTAAATATCATATTACCTCCCCTTAGACCACAGAATGACAATTGACAATAGGTGAGAACAAATGTTATTAGGATCTGGTGAAGACTTTAATTAGACTAGCTTGAGACTAAAAAGAAAATATTCTTGCAACTACAAACATCAACAAATTAAAAAAAAAGCATTTGTCTGACTTCCTCGAATGCCATTTCTCTGCAATGGTCATATCTTTGTAGTAGGTTTTTTCATGTTACTGCTAAACAAATATCACCATCCTACCATTACCGGATTACAACTTGGTAGACTTGAAAAAATTTGCTTATTCAAGGAATAGACCCCCAACAAAAGTGATTATCAATGCTTTCCCTCATTACTAAAAACAATTTCTCGACTTACCATGTACATAGGTGAACCACATAATGTGGCAGCCATGACACCATCCTGTAAAAATCGAGCGAACCCAAAATCAGCTGGAAAAAAAAAAAGGTGATGGCCATTAAGTATGCAAAACATCTGAAATTTTGGGTGTAAAATAATGCCTGGCACTGTTTTGATCTCTATACAGAAATTCTCCCAATATAAAATTATATTATCATTTGTACTTGATAACGATAAGAGAATACTTGTCAAAACGTTCTGCTATATGTGTATAAACCAGTGATTGTATTCCATATAAATTGTGTTGTGTTTTTTAAAATCATATTATTTATCTGAAGTTCTTGATATTAGCAAGGAACTCATTCTATAAACTATTTTACGATTAAATTTCCAATTGTATTCTGTAAAGGTATATGTTTTACCTGCATACATGTAAAACTAAACGACTTACCTATTTTAAGTTTGAGATCAGAAGCTTGTGGGTTTTTCTTGCCGACATGACAAAGCAATATATTCTGTGGTTTTAGATCCCGATGAACTATACCCTTACCATTTAATGCCTTCATAGCAGCAGCTGTAATGATAGAAAATATCTAACTGATGTTTAATCAAGATCTTTAATTCTGTTATTACCGATTCAAGATCAAACACTGTGGTGTATACGTAAACTTCAATATACACAATCTGCCATTATGGGATCCATTCACTTTATTTGAATTGTGCGTTTGTTTGTGAGTTCTGTGTAATATGTCTTGTCCGTTTATTTGTTTTTGTGTAAATTATGTGTGGTGCAGTCTCCTGCACTTACTATATATAGAGTATATCCTTATTTCAATAATTTTGTTTCAGGTTTTTTTTTAGACAGAAATCAAAACATACCCTTTTTCATTTATACAATTATGGGATATAAATTTGACATATGATCTGAAGGGTAACATCTCAGACTGTCCACAACGCCCTTCTACACATTTAAAAGCAAATTTACGGTTAGTCAGATCAAGAATTAAGCTGACTAACATTTTTATCATTTCAAGAGCACTACAGTATACACTGGTTTTGGCACATACATGTAAAGTCCAAGTCCTGTCGCTATATCTAACAAAACTTTAATAATATTTTAATAATGTAGCCTTTCCATTGTCTGAGAGATAAAATAAAGTGCGATTATTTTAGTACTCAAACAGTTCAAATTTTAGTTGAAGTTTCCGTGAATAAAGGCCATAGTATATTGACTATAACTTAAATTAATATAGTAAGTTTACATGCACTGACTTAGACTGACTTACTTTTATTCAAATTAAAACACATTGTTTATTATATAAATACAGAGTCTTTTAGAGAAGAAAAGACGTTCTGTGATTGTGATATATGAAGCATGAATGAAACCAAGGTAAATATTCAACTATTTGCGTTGATCGATCAACCATGAACACAGCTGTATGACTCCTGGCTATTTCACTTTAAAACTCCTATGATGAGCTAGTTGATCGACTTAACAAAATTAACATCTACACATATTAATCACGTTAGTATATTAATCTAGGACTAGAATCTCTTGTTTTACTCACCTATCTGTCTTAATAACACCACGATTGTATCTTCACTTAATGTTCCTTTAACTACAGAAAAAATAATCATGTGAAAAAAATCCTTAAGAGAAATGATCGACTGATATGATGTTAAAAGTTAACAAAATAAAAGCCAGCTGATTTTTTTTATGAATTCAACCGTCATTGGCTTTATATCTGATAAACTGAACATCTCTGGTTGTTTTATATTTTACTCTCCTACTATTCAGTAATTTTAATAACAATGTCAATATCAGTAAAATTACAATCCACACCAAAAGAAACATAAATGTAGAGAGAGAGAGAGAGAGAGAGAGAGAGAGAGAGTTTAACATTCCCTCCTGGACATTAACCAGGCCATTTCAATAACATTACATGTACAATCAACACTCAAAAAAATAAATGCAGAGACTAACTATGGTATAGAGTCAATGCAATAATTCGCTTGTGCACAGGGGTCTTTTAGTAGAGGAAGGAAACCCGAGTACTTATCCGTGAAAAAAACGCACAAGGTTAGGTATTCGATCCTATTCATTGCCACATATAGAATACGGATTGAACCACTGACACAGTGCAAGGGTTAAAACACCCACCCCTTAAATTTATAGAATCAAATCATTAATTCGCTTGCGCACAGGGGTCTTTCAAAGAGGGAGAAAACCAGAGTATGTATCCGGGAAAAAAAATGAGGTTAGACAGGCGATCCTACTCTTTGTCATGCACAGAATAGGGATTGAACCCTTGAAGTTGAAACAGTGCACAAGCTAACCCCCTCCCCCACCTCCAATTATAAATATACCTACCATGTAAATAGTCAGCCAAGTCTCCTCCATTACAGTACTATAAATAGAAAATAATATATATTCATATAAATAAACAAATGAGAAAAAGGACATTATGAAACATGATGTCTAGAAATGTGACAAACCATTAATAACAGAAATATGAAGAGTTGTATAATTTAATCCACAGTAAAAAAATACCTTCAGCAGTATTTGGTATTTAGACTCAACCCAAATAATGTCAGCCATTAAAATCAATGTTTTATTCTCATCTTTTTTTCCATTATAAGATTTATCAAATCTGATTACTCAACCACTAAATACATTGTTTTTTGGGCAAAGTCTTATATTTTTTCCATTATAATTATAAGATTATACAAATTTGATTAGTCAATCATACAAAATGGAGTTTTTCCTATTAACAACATGGTCTTGGTAAAATATAATGGATTAAGGTCTTACCTCCATAACCAGGTAAACATGGTTGGATGTTTCCTGTAAAAATATAAATATTACTTCTGTAAAATAATTTATTACAAATACTAGACAAGATAGGAAAACTGTGCAAATTAATGCAGACAAAAACAAAGAAAAGTTTTGCACTTTTGGACTTGGGCCTGTCCATGGCAACATAAAGCAGACCAAAATCAATGAAACGTTTTGCACTTTTAGACTTGGGCCTGCACATCGCAACCTGGAAACTTTGAAGGCTACCAAAAACACAATTCATGATGTTGTTGTTCTAGCAAGTATTCTACAAGGTCAAACATCTCAGTTTTAAAAAAAATCAATCATTATGGTGCGGTAACTTTGTAATATATACATGTAATTATGAACCCTTTTTCTTGGCAACTACTGAACAGATTATTTCATTTGAACATTAAATTGTATTAAAAATTACATATACATGTAACACATTTGTAGGGAAATATGTTTAAAGAAAGAAATCAACATTACTGTGTCCCTTTAAAAGAAATATATCAAAGTGAATCTAAAGGTACATGAACTTTATCCCTACAGGAAGACATCTGGGGCACACAGTTTAATAAGGAAATATGACAGGATATGTTCTGTTACAATGTATTTATTCACATTCCTTGTCATCCTAGATCAATTATTTTTATTCATATATCTCCTCTTGATTAGTTATATATCTTGTACATGTATTATGAAGCAGTAACAGAGAGAGAGAGAGAGGGAGAGAGAGAGAGAGAGAGAAAGAGAGAGAGATGGGGTTTAATGTCCACTCGACACAAACTAGGTCATTTCGGGACTAACACATGGTTCAATTTATGTCAGTGGGAGGAAACAGGGGGACCTCGAGAAAACCCACAAGGTTGGACAGGCAACCCTACTCCTTGTCATGTACAACCGAGGAATCGAAACCACGCCAGTTGACTCAATGACAGACCCTATGATACAGCACGCACATGCAAACCATTCGAAAATCCACCCCCAAGCAGTAACAGTAATTATTAGTAACAGGAAAGAAAAAGGTTGGGGGATTTTTCTGAGAAAACAGGTTGGCCCTACCAGGGAGGCAGAATTTATAGTTTTAAACAAAGTTTCACCTAGTTAAAAGAGAAGAGTTGATCTACTTCTTTTTTTTAAAAAAACAATATATAGAAAGATGTCATTTATCAATCAATTATTAAAAAAATTACATTACTAAAAAAATTGTCAAACAGACTGATATTCTTTTACAAATAATTTACAATACAAAAGATTATTCCAATAAATGTTTGACAACAGATTGATTATTTTGATACCTAATTCATAATACATATAGATTATTTTTATAAATAATTCATACTAGATTGGCTAGTTTGACAAATAATTCATAACAAGTCAATGATTTTTACACCACATGTCAATAATAATAGATTTTTAATTTCACAATACTGAACTTACACTTATTAAATTTTAAAGACAAAGATGTATATTTTCCTATTAACTTTTTTTTTTATAACATTAGTGTTCTAGATTACTAGAATGAACATGCAGTACAAATAAACAAATATGTGCTCAAAATGTTCGATGGGCACTTTGTCAGAAGATTCCCACTGCTCACTTCATTTTTCCTAAATTCCACCAGATTTCTAGTTTTACGACAAAATATATGCACTAACCATCAGACTTTGTCAATGAGGAATTATGGTTAAATCTATTCCCCTTTAAGACATACATGGTTCATGGTAACTCATGGTATATAGGCTATGCACTAACCATCCGACTTTGTTAATGACACATTATGGTCAGGGGCGGATTGGGGACGGGAACCGGCCTGGGCTCCCGTGTGGGAGCGGCCCCTTTTACTGACCGCGGAGCCGGATGGGGGGTCCGGGTGCTCTCCCACATGAAAATTTTGAAAAATGAACCCCAAATATGCGATTTTGTGGCATATCTGATTATAATCTCTGTCAACAAATAATATATCTCATAAATCGATTAATTTAAGCCAAAACCCCGACCTTCAAGTAATTTACAACCATCAACCTGTGAAATTATCATATCGTCATATTATTAATTAACGTATTATCATTGTATTGTTAAGACCAGCTATCATCAAATTTTGCCGAGGCCTTAAAATTGAATTTTTGGGGGGAGTTACGAACCATCGGCAGACGTTTCCGATGAAATTTTCGGATGAAATTCGGAATCACCATTGCAGGATTCCGAATTCCGGCCCACACCCAGCCCAGAAAGTCTATTATACCAGCCCAATCCAGATTCCAGTGATGCCGTGGCGGTCCAATACCCCCCCCCCCCATATAATGTTCAGCAGAAAAGGGTTTTTTTTAGACGAATTGGGCAAAATTATTTTTTTTCATTTTTTGTCCGACCGGCCCTTCGCCCGATGGCCCAATCCACCCCTGATTATGGTTAAATCTATTCCCTTTTTAAGACATACATGGTTCATGGAAACTCATGGTACATGTATATATGCATAATCATCAGATTTTGTCAATGAGCAATTATGGTTAAATCTATTCCCCTTTTAAGACATGCATGGTTCATGGAAACTCATGGTACATGTATATTGACAGTAACTGGAATCGTGTTCCTACAAGTAACTGGCAGCCCTGACACATATATTTGCTGCATATTTTACTTGTTTGAAAATCAGTGAATGTAATATACTTCATCAATATAGTTCAATATAGTATGTGTGCATATTTAACTTGAACATATGGAGAGATTTTTTTTTTTGTAAAATAATATTTTAACAGATAAGAATGGGAGTTAGTCTGCTTAACGGTTTTACATGCAACTCAAAACTGATATCTGTAAGCAAACTGAATTCCAATTAAAATTTTAAAACTAATCAAAATAATTTATAACAAATCGTGTAGTAGAAGGTAGTATGAATTACATGTACATCTCATGTTGTCCATGTCTACAGAAATACATCTGTAGCACATTGTTCTAATTTTTTTAAACCATGCAGCAGACCATGGAAAAGATATGACTGTCTTAAGAGTAATTTATCATAACGGACAGAGACCCCTAATCATCTTAGATAAGATTGTTTTAGGTACATGTACACACCTCATGTGCTCTGTGTGTATTTAACATAAGGAAATTTTGGGAGTTCAAGGTAAGTTCACACACACACACACCAGTGAAAAATTGTGTACATGTACAGCTGGAAGGCATACAAAATAAACAGCCAACTCCATCAAAACACATTACAACCTAATCTCCAGTAAACATCTAAATTATATTAAATGCATTCATTTGTAAAAATATTACAATTCAACATTTTTTTCCTGGTGCAATTCAGATTTTATCCCCTTTTAACCCAACTTCACTACAATTTTCCCTGATAAAAAACCCCAAAATAAACTGATAACAGTTTATTGTCGGTTTTGAAGTTAATGTTATGGGCTTGTTTGTAGTCATACAATTTTTAACTACAAAACCTGACTGCATTTTTTATTTTAACTTATTTCGTGGTTGAAGGCATAATTTGCTTTTACTTTAAAAGCCTTTCTTCAAAGCATATCATACTGGTTAAAGATTTTGTATAGACTTATATAAATTTTAATTAGAATTTTGTATTATTTAGAATAATATTGCAAATTACACTGTAAATATGTGTATAAGAGGTTATTTTCTTGTCCTTTGTAAGGAAATGAAAACAGCATTAAGTAACTGATTTGAAATTTAATAGTTCAATATAAAGTACAACTGTATTTATTAGAAGAGATCTTATTACAGATGACTAATGTTGAAATTATGATTAGGGTATTATAGAGTCAGGATGATGACACAGTAATATCAAACTTATCTCATCAATATAATGTTTATTATATGCTAAAAAGTCATATGCAATTATATATGAAATTTTCATCATTTGGAAACGGATTAATTAATATAAGCTTTGTAGCTTGTTTCTGAATCCATATAATTTATTATGTATTGTATATTGTGTGTAATCATATGTTAATAAATATTGTTTAAATCAAACAATGATATATTTCTAAGCTTAGTAATGTTTAACATTATCTGTAGTTCGACAACTCGACTGACATTTAATCAAAAAGGTGAACGCCTTAAAATCAAACTAAGCTGACGACATCAGAATTCCATACATAATAGCATTGCACAATTGAATCTTTCAAATTAAAGGAGCTAAATCCCTATTCTTTGGGACCTAGAAATTGACACAAATGGGTCGCCACGCATATAATAATGTAATATGAATGTATATAAACTGATTTACATTCAAATGTTTCTGTCCTGTAATTTCTAATTAGTTGTGTTCGGCAAAATACGCGAAAAGTCCAAATTAAATGGCACTCTTTGGCATCTGGTAGTATTCTCCTGAGGGGTATGTTTAGCCTTGTTCATTGAGTTGCTTCATTACAAATGGCGCTCGAAAGCATTCTGGCATACAATTCAAGTGCCAATTTTAAAATGTTCATTTTGTCCTAAATATTGGCTATCAGAAGCCCATCTTTTCACGGTAAGATAACAACATCAATGTTGATTTAAATTGACCAATAAGTCTTCTTTGCAATGTTGAAGACTGTGAATGATATTGAGTTAAAGACTTGCGACCTTTAACAACATGAACATACACCCACAATTTTATATCAGATGACTGTATTAGCTGGACAAAGCCGTCTCGAGACAGTTTAATAACAAAGTCTAACAGAGTTTTCATTTCAGCTATATTTGCCAGTTTTGACTGATATTCAGGTTGATAGTCAAAATGTATGGCATAAAATTAGGTATTTCAGAGAATTAACATCAAAACACATTAAATACAGTTAGATTTACAGTTTTTATGGATAAAACAAGTTGGAATTAATTAAAAATTTGAGATAATACAAAAGACTGTCATATTCTGACCATTTAAAGTAAACAAAATGTGCAAACGATTGATTGGCTGAAAAAACCCATGAAGATGAAACTTTGGTCTATAACAAACATTTTTTTTTATGTACATACACAGTATATGCCTATCTATATTTTATTTAAAGATGTCG